TTATCAGTCAGAGGAGTTCCATGTACAATGAGAGTGCTGTGTTATCAGGAGGAGTTCCATGTGCAATGAGAGTGCCATGTTATCAGTCAGAGGAGTTCCATGTGCAATGAGAGTGCCATGTTATCAGTCAGAGGAGTTCCATGTGCAATGAGAGTGCTGCGTTATCAGTCAGAGGAGTTCCATGTGCAATGAGAGTGCCATGTTATCAGGAGGAGTTCCATGTGCAATGAGAGTGCTGCGTTATCAGTCAGAGGAGTTCCATGTGCAATGAGAGTGCCATGTTATCAGGAGGAGTTCCATGTACAATGAGAGTGCCATGTTATCAGTCAGAGGAGTTCCATGTGCAATGAGAGTCCCGCGTTATCACTTAGAGGAGTTTCATGTGCAATGAGAGTGCCATGTTATCAGTCAGAGGAGTTCCATGTACAATAAGAGTGCCGTGTTATCAGTCAGAGGAGTTCCGCGTACAATGAGAGTGCCATGTTATCAGGAGGAGTTCCATGTGCAATGAGAGTGCCATGTTATCAGTCAGAGGAGTTCCATGCACAATGAGAGTGTCGTGTTATCAGTCGGAGGAGTTCCATGTACAATGAGAGTGCCGTGTTATCAGTCAGAGGAGTTCCACGTACAATGAGAGTGCCATGTTATCAGGAGGAGTTCCATGTACAATGAGAGTGCCATGTTATCAGGAGGAGTTCCATGTACAATGAGAGTGCCGTGTTATCAGTCAGAGGAGTTCCATGTGCAATGAGAGTGTCATGTTATCAGGAGGAGTTCCATGTACAATGAGAGTGGCCATGTTATCAGGAGGAGTTCCATGTACAATGAGAGTGGCCATGTTATCAGGAGGAGTTCCATGAATAATGAGAGTGTCATGTTTTCAGGAGGAGTTCCATGTACAATGAAAGTGTCATGTTATCAGGAAGAGTTTCATGTACAATGAGAGTGCCGAGTTATCAGTCAGAGGAGTTCCATGTACAATGAGAGTGGCCATATTATCAGAAGGGTTCCATGAACAATGAAAATGCCATGTAATTGGCAGTATGAAGGTTTTCATGTACATGTGTCCCAAAAACAAGGAGGAGTTCCATGTAACCATAAGAATGACATGTAACCAGGGACCACAGGGATACCGTACTACTGTGGGAGATCCATGTTAATGACTAGAGGAGTTCCACCCAACAATGGATGCCATGTTACCGGAGGAGTTCCATAGTACAATAAGGACACGTTTCTGGTCTCCAGAGGAGTTCCATGTTACAATGGGGGCGTCTTTGTACCAGAAGCCGAAGGACAACCCAAACTCACACGACCCTTTTTTTTTTTTAGACCCACAGAGGGCGGAGCCAGGGGCGGACTGACAACTCATGGGGCCCCCGGGCAATAGGGGATCATGGGGCCCCTGTGTCCTTGCCCAAACTCAAAAAAGCCTATGAAAAAGGTACCAGGGTCATCTCATGGGGCCCCCTACTGACCCCGGCCCTCGGGCTGTGCCCGAGTTTCCAAATGGTCAGTCCGCCCCTGGGCGGAGCTGGGAACACCCACATTAAATGTCATTCAGGAAATCAGGATCCCGGCCACAGGAGAACGGATATCAGAAGAGTCACAGAACGATGTGAAATTGTCGTCTTTGTCTGCAGCGTTTGTTTTAGAAACGCCGATTTCTTCGGGACATTCGGATTTCTTCGGGACATTCGGATTTCTTCGGGACATTCGGATTTCTTCGGGACATTCGGATTTCTTCGGGACATTCGGATTTCTTCGGGACATTCGGATTTCTTCGGGGGACTCTGGACTTCTTTAATCCTCACTAAGAACAGCATACTGCGCCTTTAATGTTTAAATGATTAGACAATGAAAAGGCGCGCGGCGTTCATCAGAGTCTGCCGCAGGACCTTTTATGTCGCGCGCGGCAAATTCTCAAGACGGTTTCCTGGTTTAATAATTACATTAAAAAGAAGCTCAAATATAGACATTAGGCGTACGTAAAGTATTTCTAGAACCTTCTGATAAGTGTCAATTGTAGAGGAAGGAGGGGAGTCCTCCAGCAGTGCAGAGTACTTCAGGAGAGGAGAGTTATAGAGGAAGGAGAGGAGTCCTCCAGCAGTGCAGAGTATTTCAGGAGAGGAGTTATAGAGGAAGGAGCGGAGTCCTCCAGGAGCGCAGAGTATTTCAGGAGAGGAGTTATAGAGGAAGGAGCGGAGTCCTCCAGGAGCGCAGAGTATTTCAGGAGAGGAGTTATAGAGGAAGGAGCGGAGTCCTCCAGCAGCGCAGAGTATTTCAGGAGAGGAGAGTTACAGAGGAAGGAGCAGAGTCCTCCAGCAGCGCAGAGTATTTCAGGAGAGGAGAGTTATAGAGGAAGGAGCGGAGTCCTCCAGCAGCGCAGAGTATTTCAGGAGAGGAGAGTTACAGAGGAAGGAGCAGAGTCCTCCAGCAGCGCAGAGTATTTCAGGAGAGAAGAGTTATAGAGGAAGGAGAGGAGTCCTCCAGCAGCGCAGAGTATTTCAGGAGAGGAGAGCTATGGAGGAAGGAGCGGAGTCCTCCAGCAGTGCAGAGTATTTCAGGAGAGGAAAGTTATAGAGGAAGGAGCGGAGTCCTCCAGCAGTGCAGAGTATTTCAGGAGAGGAGAGTTTATAGAGGAAGGAGCGGAGTCCTCCAGCAGCGCAGAGTATTTCAGGAGAGGAGAGTTATAGAGGAAGGAGCGGAGTCCTCCAGCAGAGCAGAGTATTTCAGGAGAGGAGTTATAGAGGAAGGAGCAGAGTCCTCCAGCAGCGCAGAGTATTTCAGGAGAGGAGTTATAGAGGAAGGAGCGGAGTCCTCCAGCAGCGCAGAGTATTTCAGGAGAGGAGAGTTATAGAGGAAGGAGCGGAGTCCTCCAGCAGTGCAGAGTATTTCAGGAGAGGAGTTATAGAGGAAGGAGCGGAGTCCTCCAGCAGCGCAGAGTATTTCAGGAGAGGAGAGTTATAGAGGAAGGAGTGGAGTCCTCCAGCAGCGCAGAGTATTTCAGGAGAGGAGTTATAGAGGAAGGAGCGGAGTCCTCCAGCAGTGGAGAGTATTTCAGGAGAGGAGTTATAGAGGAAGGAGCGGAGTCCTCCAGCAGCGCAGAGTATTTCAGGAGAGGAGAGTTATAGAGGAAGGAGCGGGCGAAGTCTATTATATTTGCCTGACATCCTTTTTTCTTAGTGGAGTGTTCCTTTAAGGCAGCGTTCCCCGCAACACACATCCTATAGCGATATCGTCCTTATTTTATACTCCTCTCCCCTCCAATAATTCATTATCCGTTGGCTCCGTTTAATTTATATTTTATCACCCAACACATTAGCGTATTTGTATTTCCCCCGTCCACGCTATCTCCCACCGCAGACCAGGCGCCACTCGTTAAATGTCACCCACATCAAACGCCAAATTACAGCTCGTTATAAATATTCCTTTTTATAAATGACTTCAAAGCTGGCAGAAATCAAACGGGTTCAGGTAGTAATTATAGCAAGACAGAATGTCAATTTGCGCTCTCTCCAGTCTGCCAGGGCCACGGCTCCCCAGCTGACGCAACAATTGGGGCCATTTTTTGTTATTAAAAAAAAAGGTATGACGTTATCTGGGCTTTTCATTGGCTGTGACCTTGTTCAGCCAGGATGCTGACTGCGCTTCATGGCTCAGTGGGCTCGGTATTATTTTTCATTTTAAAAAAAATTGCAATCTTTTTATTTTGTTGAACTGATTTTTTTTTTCCCCATTCGGGGTGGAATTGAAATGTTTTGATTGCCCAACATATCTTTTGTGCTCTACAAATGTAATATTTTTCTATTAAAGTGTTACTAAACCCCGGACCCTGCATTCAGTATATCTGGTCTCCCCGGACCCTGCATTCACTATATCCACTCTCCCCGGACCCCGCATTCAGTATATCTGGTCTCCCCGGACCCTGCATTCACTATATCTGGTCTCCCTGGACCCTGCATTCACTATATCTGCTCTCCCCGGACCCTGCATTCACTATATCCGCTCTCTCCGGACCCTGCATTCAGTATATCTGGTCTCCCCGGACCCGGCATTCACTATATCCGCTCTCTCCGGACCCTGCATTCACTATATCCGCTCTCTCCGGACCCTGCATTCACTATATCTGCTCTCCCCGGACCCTGCATTTACTATATCTGGTCTCCCCAGACCCCGCATTCACTATATCCACTCTCCCCGGACCCCGCATTCACAATATCTGCTCTCCCCAGACCCTGCATTCACTATATCTGGTCTCCCCGGACCCCGCATTCACTATATCCGCTCTCCCCGGACCCGCATTCACTATATCCGCTCTCCCCGGACCCCTCATTCACTATATCTGCTCTCCCCGGACCCTGCATTCACTATATCCGCTCTCCCCGGACCCTGCATTCACTATATCCGCTCTCCCCGGACCCTGCATTCACTATATCCCGCTCTCCCCGGACCCTGCATTCACTATATCCGCTCTCCCCAGACCCTGCATTCACTATATCCGCTCTCCCCAGACCCTGCATTCCCTATATCCGCTCTCCCCGGACCCTGCATTCACTATATCTGCTCTCCCCGGACCCTGCATTCACTATATCTGGTCTCCCCAGACCCCGCATTCACTATATCCGCTCTCCCCGGACCCGCATTCACTATATCCGCTCTCCCCGGACCCCTCATTCACTATATCTGCTCTCCCCGGACCCTGCATTCACTATATCCGCTCTCCCTGGACCCTGCATTCACTATATCCGCTCTCCCCGGACCCTGCATTCACTATATCCTGTCTCCCCGGACCCTGCATTCACTATATCCAGTCTCCCGGACCCTGCATTCACTATATCCGCTCTCCCCAGACCCTGCATTCACTATATCCGCTCTCCCCGGACCCTGCATTCCCTATATCCGCTCTTCCCGGACCCTGCATTCACTATATGTGGTCTCCCCAGACCCTGCATTCTCTATATCCACTCTCCCCGGACCCCGCATTCACTATATCCGGTCACCCAGGACCCTGCATTCACTATATCCGCTCTCCCCGGACCCCGCATTCACTATATCCGGTCTCCCCGGACCCCGCATTCACTATATCTGCTCTCCCCAGACCCTGCATTCACTATATCTGCTCTCCCCGGACCCTGCATTCACTATATCTGGTCTCCCCAGACCCTGCATTCACTATATCCACTCTCCCCGGACCCCGCATTCACTATATCCGGTCACCCAGGACCCTGTATTCACTATATCTGCGCTCCCCGGACCCTGCATTCACTATATCCGCTCTCCCCGGACCCTGCATTCACTATATCTGGTCTCCCCAGACCCTGCATTCACTATATCCGCTCTCCCCGGACCCTGCATTCACTATATCCGCTCTCCCCGGACCCTGCATTCACTATATCCGCTCTCCCCGGACCCCGCATTCACTATATCCGGTCACCCAGGACCCTGTATTCACTATATCTGCTCTCCCCGGACCCTGCATTCACTATATCCGCTCTCCCCGGACCCTGCATTCACTATATCCGGTCTCCCCAGACCCTGCATTCACTATATCCGCTCTCCCCGAACCCTGCATTCACTATATCCGCTCTCCCCGGACCCCGCATTCACTATATCCGCTCTCCCCGGACCCCGCATTCACTATATCCGGTCACCCAGGACCCTGTATTCACTATATCTGCTCTCCCCGGACCCTGCATTCACTATATCTGCTCTCCCCGGACCCTGCATTCACTATATCCGGTCTCCCCGGACCCCGCATTCACTATATCCGCTCTCCCCAGACCCTGCATTCACTATATCTGCTCTCCCGGACCCTGCATTCACTATATCCGGTCTCCCCGGACCCCGCATTCACTATATCCGCTCTCCCGGACCCTGCATTCCCTATATCCGCTCTCCCCGGACCCTGCATTCACTATATCTGGTCTCCCCAGACCCTGCATTCACTATATCCGCTCTCCCCGGACCCTGCATTCACTATATCCGCTCTCCCCGGACCCCTCATTCACTATATCCGGTCACCCAGGACCCTGCATTCACTATATCTGCTCTCCCCGGACCCCACATTCACTATATCTGCTCTCCCCGGACCCCGTATTCACTATATCTGCTCTCCCCGGACCCCGCATTCACTATATCCGCTCTCCCCGGACCCTGCATTCACTATATCCGCTCTCCCCCGGACCCTGCATTCACTATATCCGGTCTCCCCGGACCCTGCATTCACTATATCTGCTCTCCCCGGACCCTGCATTCACTATATCTGGTCTCCCCGGACCCTGCATTCACTATATCTGCTCTCCCCGGACCCTGCATTCACTATATCTGGTCTCCCCGGACCCCGCATTCACTATTTCTGCTCTCCCCGGACCCTGCATTCACTATATCTGCTCTCCCACATTACACAGAACATGGAAATGCAAATATTTTAGTAAATATAAACTGCTAAATACCTTTTCTCATCATCAGTATAAAGCGGTCTTGTGCCTTCTATCAGTGTCCAGCAGAGCACTGGTTAAAGCTTGTAGGAGTAGTTTTCTTTAAGCTCTCGGAAGATGCGGAACCCCTGGCCTCTGTCTGGACAGTGCTGATTGGCCCTGTGCTGATCACATGCACTTTCCCAAGTAAAAAAACCCCCAAAAACACCTCTCTAGCAATACACACCAACCTGAGCATGTACAAAAGGCCTACGGTTCAGTCTGTCTTATCAGAAAATAAGAGGTGGTCGTTTGAAAAAGGGAGAAGACAGGATCAAACAGCCTTTTTACATAATGCAGAGGATGAACCCCTTAGGTTCCACAGTGAGTATAACAAGCATGCTTTACTGCATCTACAGACTGATTGTACTGTTGTGGGTTCAGTAACACTAAGCATCCACTAGAGGCAGCACTATGCAGGTCAGGCTGTATTACTCAGGAATAATACAGCCGGCGACAGAGGTAGCTCAGCTGAAACAGTAAGGACAGGGAGGAATCTGTTTGGGGTTTCGGGTGGAATTCTTTTGGATGACAAATGCTGATGCACTTTGCTCTCTTCAAGGTACAGCTACACTTATAATCAGGGCTTTTTTTCCCTCAGAGAATAGGTGCAGGTACTCCCACCTCTGAGCGCCGTTCCTTGGCTCCACCCACTTACTATCCACCTCCCGGTACTGTCCATTGTAGAGAAAACAGAAACAAGAATTGTTTTGTGGTGCAAAGTAAATTCGTATGGGATTTAATGATAACAAGAAGAGCAGCACAATAGATCCCCTGCAGCCAGTAATAATAGATCCCCCAACAACAACAGACCCCCCCTGCAGCAAAATGCCCCACAGCAACAATAGATCCATCCTGGAGTAATAGACCCCCACCAGCAACAATAGACCCCTCCCTCAACAGTAGATCTCTCCCACTCTATTACAGGAGGTGTGTTAGTGGCTTCATCCAGAGTGGGGGCGCTCTATTACAGGAGTTGTGTTACTGGCTTCATCCAGAGTGGGGGGCGCTCTAATACAGGAGGTGCGTTACCGGCTTCATCCAGAGTGGGGGCGCTCTAATACAGGAGGGGTGTTACTGGCAATGTCCAGAGTGGGGGCGCTCTAACACGGTTGTTTGTTGGCTGAGTGGGGGCGCTCTAATACAGGAGGAGTGTTACTGGCTTCATCTAGAGTGGGGGCGCTCTAATACAGGAGGTGCGTTACTGACTTCAGCCAGAGTGGGGGCGCTCTAATACAGGAGGTGTGTTACTGGCTTCATCCAGAGTGGGGCGCTCTAATACAAGAGGTGTGTTACTGACTTCATCCAGAGTGGGGGCGCTCTAATACAGGAGGTGTGTTACTGGCTTCATCCAGAGTGGGGGCGCTCTAATACAAGAGGTGTGTTACTGACTTCATCCAGAGTGGGGGCGCTCTAATACAGGAGGAGTGTTACCAGCTTCATCCAGAGTGGGGCGCTCTAATACAAGAGGTGTGTTACTGACTTCATCCAGAGTGGGGGCGCTCTAATACAGGAGGGGTGTTACTGGCTTCATCCAGAGTGGGGCGCTCTAATACAAGAGGTGTGTTACTGGCTTCATCCAGAGTGGGGGCGCTCTAATACAAGAGGTGTGTTACTGACTTCATCCAGAGTGGGGGCGCTCTAATACAAGAGGTGTGTTACTGACTTCATCCAGAGTGGGGGCGCTCTAATACAGGAGGGGTGTTACTGACTTCATCCAGAGTGGGGCGCTCTAATACAAGAGGTGTGTTACTGACTTCATCCAGAGTGGGGCGCTCTAATACAAGAGGTGTGTTACTGACTTCATCCAGAGTGGGGGCGCTCTAATACAGGAGGGGTGTTACTGGCTTCATCCAGAGTGGGGGCGCTCTAATACAAGAGGTGTGTTACTGACTTCATCCAGAGTGGGGGCGCTCTAATACAAGAGGTGTGTTACTGACTTCATCCAGAGTGGGGCGCTCTAATACAAGAGGTGTGTCACTGACTTCATCCAGAGTGGGGGCGCTCTAATACAGGAGGGGTGTTACTGACTTCATCCAGAGTGGGGCGCTCTAATACAAGAGGTGTGTTACTGACTTCATCCAGAGTGGGGCGCTCTAATACAAGAGGTGTGTTACTGACTTCATCCAGAGTGGGGGCGCTCTAATACAGGAGGGGTGTTACTGGCTTCATCCAGAGTGGGGCGCTCTAATACAAGAGGTGTGTTACTGACTTCATCCAGAGTGGGGGCGCTCTAATACAGGAGGGGTGTTACTGGCTTCATCCAGAGTGGGGGCGCTCTAATGCAGTTGTGTTGCTGGCCAGATTACCAGGTGAATACAGAGGGAAAAAAAGCCTTAAAAAAGAAAACGAATGCAGCCGCTACATCTAATGATTGGTAAGCTGCAATACAGGACATTTCCGGTTCGGGGTTTATGGTCCCGGATGAGTAACAGACTCAGAATGAAGAGTGTGCAGCAATCTGATTCCATGGCAGCTCACTGCTGCCCCCTATCGCTAGACTGCAGTACCTCCAGCCTCCTCTCCTGTGTTACATTGTACCCTAGCAGGATGTGAGCTCTGTGATTGGCTGCTGGGTGAAAATGGCAAAAATTGGGACCTTATCGGTAAAACGCATGTCTCTGTAGTTTATTTTAAACCCGGCGCAATCTCCTGATTTTTTTTTAAATAATTTTTTAAATGCTAAATGTCACCCTTTGCGATCTGCCGCTTTCATCGACCACAGGGGAGCAGCTCGCTATCTAAAATTTATAATTCATTAAGGACACGTATATGTCTATTCTGCGTCCCTGCCACGGTAATGATGTGACAGGAGGGTGCTGACACCAATTGCCTCCCGCAGTGCCCCCCCCCCCCGGAGATGACAGCGTCCTGAAGTCTCCTAATTACTTTAACGAGGGACGCTGCTCTGCTTTGAACGAATGAAAACTGGGTTACATCCTTCGATGCTGCGCGCCTTTCTGGGGGTATCTGTAGATGGAACTCTACCCTCTGATCATTGCCATCAGGCATCGCTCCTCAGGGACCGCCGTCTGAAAAATAAAAACAGCATCTAAAAGCCAAAAAATGTCTAAATCTAAAAACAAAAAAAATTGCAAATTACCGGTCCTTCGATGTGGTGGCTGCATTCGTTTTTTTCCCCAGACTTTTTCCTCTTAAAGTGACAATAAAACAATATTTCTATTATTCAAAAAAGAATCCATACAAATCCACTGCATTATGGTCCTGTAATCTGTTTTTCATGAAACAGTTTCATACTGTGTTTTTCTGCCTCTTTGTAATGTCCTCCATGAGAAAGCAAACTTCTCCTTTTCCCCCTCACAATTGTTTGTTTGGAATGAGCAGTGCATGTTAGTTGCCATCATGTGCACTGCTCTATGAACACCACAAATACCATAGCTCATAGTCTATCTCAGAAGCGACCAAGACAAGGTGGCTACGTTCCTACATACAGTGCTTTTCTACATATAGTGGGACCAAGACAGGTTGGCTACATACAGCGAGACCAAGACAGGTTGGCTACGTTCTTACATACAGCGAGACCAAGACAGGTTGGCTACGTTCCTACATACAGTGGGACCAAGACAAGGTGGCTACGTTCCTACATACAGTGGGACCAAGACAAGGTGGCTACGTTCCTACATACAGTGGGACCAAGACAAGGTGGCTATGTTCCTACATACAGTGCTTTCCTACGTACAGTGTGACCAAGACAAGTTGGCTACATACAGCGAGACCAAGACAGGTTGGCTACGTTCTTACATACAGTGTGACCAAGACAGGTTGGCTACGTTCCTACATACATTGTGACCAAGACAGGTTGGCTACGTTCCTACATACAGTGGGACCAAGACAGGTTGGCTACGTTCCTACATACAGTGGGACCAAGACAAGGTGGCTACGTTCCTACATACAGTGGGACCAAGACAAGGTGGCTACGTTCCTACATACAGTGGGACCAAGACAAGGTGGCTATGTTCCTACATACAGTGCTTTCCTACGTACAGTGTGACCAAGACAAGTTGGCTACATACAGCGAGACCAAGACAGGTTGGCTACGTTCTTACATACAGTGTGACCAAGACAGGTTGGCTACGTTCCTACATACATTGTGACCAAGACAGGTTGGCTACGTTCCTACATACAGTGGGACCAAGACAGGTTGGCTACGTTCCTACATACAGTGGGACCAAGGCAGGTTGGCTACGTTCTTACATACAGTGGGACCAAGACAGGTTGGCTACGTTCCTACATACAGTGTGACCAAGACAGGTTGGCTACGTTCCTACATACAGTGTGACCAAGACAGGTTTGCTACGTTCCTACATACAGTGGGACCAAGACAGGTTGGCTACGTTCCTACATACAGTGTGACCAAGACAGGTTGGCTACGTTCCTACATACAGTGTGACCAAGACAGGTTGGCTACGTTCCTACATACAGTGTGACCAAGACAGGTTGGCCACGTTCCTACATACAGTGGGACCATGACAGGTTGGCTATGTTCCTACATACAGTGTGACCAAGACAGGTTGGCTACGTTCCTACATACAGTGCTTTCCTACATACAGTGGGACCAAGACAGGTTGGCTATGTTCTTACATACAGTGTGACCAAGACAGGTTGGCTACGTTCCTACATACAGTGCTTTCCTACATACAGTGGGACCAAGACAGGTTGGCTACGTTCTTACATACAGTGGGGCCAAGACAGGTTGGCTATGTTCCTACATACAGTAGGACCAAGACAGGTTGGCTACGTTCCTACATACAGTGGGACCAAGACAGGTTGGCTACGTTCCTACATACAGTGGGACCAAGACAGGTTGGCTACGTTCCTACATACAGTGGGACCAAGACAGGTTGGCCACGTTCCTACATACAGTGGGACCATGACAGGTTGGCTATGTTCCTACATACAGTGTGACCAAGACAGGTTGGCTACGTTCCTACATACAGTGCTTTCCTACATACAGTGGGACCAAGACAGGTTGGCTACGTTCTTACATACAGTGGGGCCAAGACAGGTTGGCTACGTTCCTACATACAGTAGGACCAAGACAGGTTGGCTACGTTCCTACATACAGTAGGACCAAGACAGGTTGGCTACGTTCCTACATACAGTGGGACCAAGACAGGTTGGCTACGTTCCTACATACAGTGGGACCAAGACAGGTTGGCTACGTTCCTACATACAGTGCGTTCCTACATACAGTGGGACCAAGACAGGATAGTTACGTTCCTACATACAGTGGGACCAAGACAGGTTGGCTACGTTCCTACAACTGAATCATTGCGAATGCACATAGCCACCATCTAACAAAAATTTAAGGATGCCCCATCATTTGATGGAAATGAAAATGATCGACCTACAGAGGACTGAATCCAAAGACACCCCGAAAATCAAAGTGAAACAATGATGCAGCAGGCGAGTCCATTTTGCCGATATATCATTGCAGCAACTCAGAATGGTCCTCAGTAGTTTGTGTGGCCCCCACGTGCTTGTATGCGTGCCTGACAACGTCAGGGGAGGCTCCTAAAGAGACCACGGATGGTGTCCTGGGGGATTTCCTCCCAGATCTGGACCAGGGCATCACTGAGCTCCTGGACAGTCTGAGGTGCAACCTGGCGGCATCGGATGGACCGAAACATGATATCCCAGAGGTGTTCTATTGGATTTAGGTCAGGCGAGCGTGGGGGCCATTCAATGGTATCAATTCCTTCATCCTCCAGGAACTGCCTGCATACTCTCCCCACATGAGGCCGGGCATTGTCGTGCACCAGGAGGAACCCAGGACCCACCGCACCAGGAGGAACCCAGGACCCACTGCACCAGGAGGAACCCAGGACCCACTGCACCAGCGTAAGGTCTGACAATGGGTCCAAGGATTTCATCCTGATATCGAATGGCAGTCAGGGTTCCATTGTCTAGCCTGTAGAGGTCTGTGCGTCCCTCCATGGATATGCCTCCCCAGACCATCACTGACCCACCACCAACACGGTCATGCTGAACCATGTTACAGGCAGCAGAACGTTCTCCACGGCTTCTCCAGACCCTTTCACGTCTGTCACATGTGCTCAGGGTGAACCTGCTCTCATCTGTGAACAGCACAGGGTGCCAGTGGTGGACCTGCCAATTCTGGTGTTCAATGGCAAATGCCAATCCAGCTCTATGGTGCCGGGCAGTGAGCACAGGGCCCACTAGAGGACGTCAGGCCCTCAGGCCTCCCTCATGAAGTCTGTTTCTGATTGTTTGGTCAGAGACATTCCCACCAGTGGCCTGCTGGAGGTCATTTTGTAGGGCTCTGGCAGTGCCCATCCTATTCCTCCTTGCACAAAGGAGCAGATACCGGTCCTGCTGATGGGTTAAGGACCTTCTACAGCCCTGTCCAGCCCTCCTAGAGGAACTGCCTGTCTCCTGGAATCTCCTCCATGCTCTTGAGACTGTGCTGGGAGACACAGCAAACCTTCTGGCAATGGCACGTATTGATATGCCATCCTGGAGGAGTCGGACTGCCTGTGCAACCTCTGTAGGGTGTATATATATATATATATATATATATATATATATATATTTATATTTTTTTCCCCCCAGTTAATATGAATAAAAATATGATTTTCATTGACTTGATGCTATACTCAGAATAAAAAGTCTTCCTTTAATTTTTCTGAGCCGTGTACATTGTATTTGTTTCAGTTTTATATTCTGTATAATAATAATATACAAATGTAGCTTTTTCATCTCGTCATTCAGCCTCCCTCTCCAGAGAGGGCGCTGTGCCTTGTGTAGACGCTCTGTCCCCAGCTGTCAGGCTCTGTGGCATGACGTCACCGGGAAGATGGCGCTGTCCATGGAGCGCAGCATGCTCAGTGTGTGTCCCGTAGATGCGATCGGGTGAGTGTGTCCCGTCCCTGATCCTCATCACAGCTCGGATCTGGTGCCCTGCCTGTCATGTGTGTTTATTGATGGATCCCTCTGCACCCGGGATGTGTTAGTTTATATTATTATAGCACCTGCATATGCTGCAGCACCTTACAACATGCATCCATACCAGACGTGCCCATTATGAGGGGTTCCCACCATCCCTGTGCTGAGTTCCCGGGTCTGTACACCCGCTGTGCCCATTATGAGGGGTTCCCACCATCCCTGTGCTCAGTTCCCGGGTCTGTACACCCGCTGTGCCCATTATGAGGGGTTCCCACCATCCCTGTGCTGAGTTCCCAGGTCTGTACACCCGCTGTGCCCATTATGAGGGGTTCCCACCATCCCTGTGCTGAGTTCCCAGGTCTGTACACCCGCTGTGCCCATTATGAGGAGTTCCCACCATCCCTGTGCCAAGTTCACTTTTTTCTGATCTTTCCTTTTCAGTGTATAAGACCCAGGAGGGGCCACAGACGTCCATCAGAGGGACAGGACACCTTCCCCCGCCATGGCCGGGACATCAAGCGTTAAAAGCCAAGGCATGAGATTTGCGGAGGAGCAGCTGCAGAGACATGGCTGGACTGAAGGTATTAGTCTATCCTGGCTGGAGGGTGTCCAGGAGGGCCGGATCTGATGTGGGGGTGCAGTACATAAGTCGGGGGGCGGAATGTCAATAGTGTGACAGATGCATAGAACCCGAGTCCCCTGTTCAGTCAGCACGCTTTTGTATCACGGAGTCACAACCCAGAGGGAACACATTGGGGGTCCTCATCATAGGGCCCCCTCGCGTCAGCTGCGCCCCCACCATAGGGCCCCCTCGCGTCAGCTGCGCCCCCACCATAGGGCCCCCTCGCGTCAGCTGCGAAAATATACAAATAGATTCCCCCCCCCAATATCATGGGACTTTATAGGCAACAAATTTCTATTATAAGTTTGGGGGAACCTCTCGTTTGTTTGCCGTGCATCCACTGCGCCCCACTTGCATCAGCCCCCCTCAGAGTGCCCCCTTGCATCCACTACGCCCCTCAGAGTGCCCCCTTGCATCCACTACGCCCCTCAGAGTGCCCCTTGCATCCACTACGCCCCTCAGAGTATCCACTACGCCCCTCAGAGTGCCCCCTTGCATCAGCCCCCCATCAGAGTGCCCCCTTGCATCCACTACGCCCCTCAGAGTGCCCCCTTGCATCCACTACGCCCCTCAGAGTGCCCCCTTGCATCCACTACGCCCCTCAGAGTGCCCCCTTGCATCCACTACGCCCCTCAGAGTGCCCCCTTGCATCCACTACGCCCCTCAGAGTGCCCCCTTGCATCCACTACGCCCCTCAGAGTGCCCCCTTGCATCCACTACGCCCCTCAGATTGCCCCCTTGCATCCACTACGCCCCTCAGAGTGCCCCTTGCATCCACTACGCCCCTCAGAGTATCCACTACGCCCCTCAGAGTGCCCCCTTGCATCAGCCCCCCATCAGAGTGCCCCCTTGCATCCACTACGCCCCTCAGAGTGCCCCCTTGCATCCACTACGCCCCTCAGAGTGCCCCCTTGCATCCACTACGCCCCTCAGAGTGCCCCCTTGCATCCACTACGCCCCTCAGAGTGCCCCCTTGCATCCACTACGCCCCTCAGAGTGCCCCCTTGCATCCACTACGCCCCTCAGAGTGCCCCCTTGCATCCACTACGCCCCTCAGAGTGCCCCCTTGCATCCACTACGCCCCTCAGAGTGCCCCCTTGCATCCACTACGCCCCTCAGAGTGCCCCCTTGCATCAGCCCCCCATCAGAGTGCCCCCTTGCATCAGCCCCCCATCAGAGTGCCCCCTTGCATCCACTGCGCCCCTCAGAGTGCCCCCTTTTCCATCAAGTCTCATGAATCAGTTGGATGCACTGTCAAAGATGGAGGGGGCACAACTAATATCTGGATATCTGGGGTGCATAGCCCACCCTAGCAACCCCCCCCCCTAGATCCAGGCATGACGTCCAGCATAATCTAGCTCTTTCCTCCCCAGCCTTACCTTCCCTAGCCCCGCCCCTTTTATTTTCAGTTCTTTCAATCACAGAGGCTCGGCGTTACCTAGCCTGCCTAGGAACGCCCACTCCTCCAGATTGACACCCACCCATTAAGACATTCTGACATTTGCATAACTCCTCCCATTACATCAGGGCCAAAGGCTCTTAAAGGGGAACTGCACTGCAGCTGCGCACCACAAACCAAAAGGCCCATTTCATCCATGTTTAATATGCAGAGCACACACTCGTCCATCCATGTCTCCAGGTTATATTTTAAATATTTGAATAACACCCCCCCCCCCCCCATCATTTCTGGCGGTGGCCATCTTGAGTAAGGGCAGATGATTCATTTAGCACTTAGTTCCTGGAATCCATCTGCCCTTAGGTCAGGAATGCAGACAAGAGGGTGTGCTTAGCTGAGAAAACTCCTCCAGAAGACCCTTGGCATGTATGACATCATTTGGCTAGGCCTAGAAACCAGGAAGTAACTGAAGAAATGTTTTAAAAATGGAAAAAAAGCCCCCAAAAAATAAAAAAAACATTAAATATGATATGATTTCCTATTTATTTACTAATCCAGCAGCATAAAGATTACAAATAGTCAAAGTTTGAGAGATTGAAGTTCCACTTTAAGAGGAGTACCTAGGCAGGGTGCTGTGATGTTTTCAGGACGCTTTGCACCGCCTCTCCCCCTCCCACCAGCCATGATCTGCCTGCATTGCATAGAGAAACACAGAGACCCAGTGATGACGTCACTGGATTTATAATAAGGGATGTAACGTACGCAGGTTTCATTAGCATGTTGAAGACGGAGAGAGAGGAAGCTGGGAAGGCAAAATACAGGCAGACTCCACTTCGGATTCACATAGTTGGGAAAAAGGACCGGTGACTACTGCAAGGTGAATCCGTATTTTCATCTACTGTTGTTGTCACCACACAGTGAAGTCGTGGCTTATTATTCTATTATATATTTGTGTATTTTGGGGTCATCAGTAATGTTTGACTTTGTATCTCTTTTGCGTGTTTTTTTTTTTTTTTAGGGAAAGGTCTCGGCAAGAAGGAAAGCGGCATTTCAGAGGCAATTAAAGTCAAAGTGAAGTGTGACACGGCGGGGGTAAGGGATCCATACGTGTTGTCAGTCCGTTCAGCCAGCTTCCTCATCCACATCCTGCACAATGCAGCCAGCCTCTGACCTCGCTTTTTTCTACTTCAGTTAGGCAGTACAGCTTGGTCAGGAACCGCCCCCACCCTGTGATTGGCTAGGGAAGGAGACGGCAGCTGTATGCCTTCCCTTGCTGTTGGCCAGCTCTGTGTGCATTGCCCCTCCCTCTCCCTGTCCTGGGACTAGAGGAGGCCAATACAAAGACAGACCGGGCTACTTCTAAATGATGAATGAAAGATGAATGAATACATAACTAGGTCACATGACGCTGTGGTGTTGGATTTCTGCCTGTAGGTGGGGCACAATTCTGCTGAGCAGTTTACCTTCCACTGGTGGGATCACGTCTTCAACAAAACCGCCTCCAGCATCTCGGTGGAGCCAGATCAGGTAAGGAGTCACTAAGTACATTCCTCCCACTGACACCAATGATGGGGCACTATTCCTACCTTTGATTCCAATGATGGGGCACTATTCCTACCTTTGATTCCAATGATGGGGCACTATTTCTCCCACTGACACCAATGATGGGGCACTATTCCTACCTTTGATTCCAATGATGGGGCACTATTTCTCCCACTGACACAAATGATGGGGCACTATTCCCCCACTGACACCAATGATGGGGCACTATTCCTCCCACTGATACCAATGATGGGACACTATTCCTCCCACTGATACCAATGATGGGGCACTATTCCTCCCACTGACACCAATGATGGAGCACTATTCCTCCCACTGACACCAATGATGGGGCACTATTCCTCCCACTGACACCAATGATGGAGCACTATTCCTCCCACTGACACCAATGATGGGGCGCTATTCCTCCCACTGACACCAATGATGGGGCGCTATTCCTCCCACTGGCACCAATGATGGGGAGCTATTCCTCCCACTGGCACCAATGATGGGGAGCTATTCCTCCCACTGACACCAATGATGGGGCACTATTCCTCCCACTGGCACCAATGATGGGGAGCTATTCCTCCCACTGGCACCAATGATGGGGCGCTATTCCTCCCACTGGCACCAATGATGGGGCGCTATTCCTCCCACTGGCACCAATGATGGGGCGCTATTCCTCCCACTGACACCAGTGATGGGGCGCTATTCCTACCTTTGATTCCAATGATGGGGCGCTATTCCTCCCACTGGCACCAATGATGGGGCACTATTCCTCCCACTGACACCAATGATGGGGCACTATTCCTCCCACTGACACCAATGATGGGGCACTATTCCTCCCACTGACACCAATGATGGGGCACTATTCCTCCCACTGACACCAATGATGGGGCACTATTCCTCCCACTGACACCAATGATGGGGCACTATTCCTCCCACTGACACCAATGATGGGGCACTATTCCTCCCACTGACACCAATGATGGGGCACTATTCCTCCCACTGATACCAATGATGGGGCGCTATTTCTCCCACTGACACCAATGATGGGGCGCTATTCCTGCCACTGACACCAATGATGGGGCACTATTCCTCCCACTGACACAAATGATGGGGCACTATTCCCCCACTGACACCAATGATGGGGCGCTATTCCTACCTTTGATTCCAATGATGGGGCACTATTCCTCTCTCTAATATGGGGAGCTATTCCTCCCACTGACACCAATGATGGGGCGCTATTCCTCCCACTGACACCAATGATGGGGCACTATTCCTCCCACTCACACCAACCATGGGGAAAAACTAAAAAAAAAAAAATGTTGTTACCGTGGAAACACATATATAACATAGGTAGCCGCCTACTCACCAAGGAAGAAGGTGAAATTGTTACTTTTTTACCAGCGCCAGGGGCACTGTGGCTCCCACTAGCACCTACGCCAGGGGCCCCAACCCCTAGTCCACATATGTGTGGCCGTGATCTGCGCGGGCACAACCCCCATTCATTTCAATGGACTCCCGTGCCCTGGGACACTCAGGGAGGAAATCCCTGCACTCCTTGGGAAAATCGCAGTCCGCACGGGCACTGAGGTTCCCAGTATGGTTGCGATTTCCTGTGCGTGCAGAATTAATGGCACCCGCCTACCTCCATGTGGGTGGTGCGGCTGCAGGTATTTGTGTGGGTACCGAAAGGCACCACCTGCACAGATGTGATCCAGGGGTAATACTAAAGATAGGGCATTGTTCCTCCCACTGGCCACAGTCCGGCCCCTCTAAAGGGCAGCAAAGCGGCCCTTTGTTTAGAAAGTTTGAAGACCCCCCCACTGTAAACTTCAATGAGACCGTAAATACAATGTAACAATAGAACTGATACAATGTATTCATTTGTTGACACCAGCAAACTACAAGTGTCACTCTACACAGGAGAATATTGACAGCGGCTCCTGTTGTGCAGTACAAAGCAATTCCCGGCTGTCATTATGACGTCACATAAGAGATACGTCCCAGGAAATTTTTTTTTTTTTTTTTTTTTTTTTTTTTTTTTTTTTTAGGATGCATCCCCCATGTCTAAAATCCTCGAGTGGTTAAATATGGACAATGGGGGTGATTTTTATATAATAAAATCCCAGATTGGACAATGGGGGGGGAGGGGCCGAGAGGAGGATTTTTGTATAATAAAATGGCACTTTTTAATTTTTTATTTTTTTTCTGGATGATTACACTCCCCCGGTGTTTTTTACTTTTCTATTGATGGTGTTTGGCAGGACGGAGTTCAGGTGAGGAAGGTCACGAAGGAGGATTCCACGGTGACCAATAAGAAACCCCGGAAGGCACTCGCTAATCGGGACATGCTGTACGGTCGCTTTATAAAAGTAAGATCCGAATCTGATTTGATTTAAAAATCTGTTACGGAGGGTGAGCAGCTCGAGTGCCCGACACCCTCCCAAGCATTGCGCCTCTGTTTACCCTCTCTAACCAGTGTAAATGCAGCCCGTTTAGGAATGCCCCCTCCTCCAGACTGACGCCCACCCATCGAGGCATTTTGATATTTGCATGACTCCTCCCACTTTTGAGAGGAGTGCTGAGGCAGGGTGCTGGGCTATGAACAGCGCCCTTCCAGTCCCTCCCACCAGCCATGATCTGCCTGCTTTGCATAGAGAAGCACAGAGACCCTGTGATGACACTACTGGGTCTAAAAAGTCCCATGAGGCACTGCAAGATTGACAGTTACAAGCATGACCCCCAAAGGCATGATGGGACTTGTAGTTTCGCAACAGCTGGAGGGCCGCCAGTTTGACATCCCTGGTCTAGGTCAGTGGCTCCCAACCAGGGGTGGACTGACCATTTATCCACTCGGGCACTGCCCGAGGGCCCAGGGTCAGTAGGGGGCCCCATGAGATAGCCCTGGTACCTTTCATAGGCTTTTTTGGGTGTGGCTTGAGTGTGGGTGAGGACACAGGGGCCCCATGATTTCCTATTGCCAGGAGCCCCATGAGTTGTCAGTCCGCCCCTGCTCCCAACTGCCATTTTCAGAAAGGGGGGGGTTACTTAGACAATACTGAATGATAGGATCAACATGACAAGCCAGGAAAATGATATTTTCTGGACTGGTCAACAATTGAGTCCTATAGATCCTCACTGCGGGGGTCCTTGGGGAAAAGGGGAGCTTCTGGTTGGTCGTTAAACGTTATCCAACCAGAACATTTTATAGTTGGGTCAATTTTGGCATGCTTCAGGTTTTCACACCCCTGAGGTTCCTCCGCTCATCCTTTGCCAGTGTTGGGTGGGCGGACTTAGGACCAACATATGGAAGACTATGGCCACTAAGTGAACGAATACTGCTTGGTTGCTGATCGCCTACAGCACGGGCGTCAAAGTGGCGGCCCTCCAACTGTTGCCAAACTACAAGTCCCATGAGGCATTGCAAGATTGATAGTTACAAGTATGACTCTCAAATGCAGAGGCATGATGGGACTTGTAGTTTGGCAACAGCTGGAGGGCCGCCGGTTTGACACCCCTGGTCTAGGTCAATGGCTCCCAACTGCCATTTTTGGAAGGAGGGGGCGGATTCCTGACGTTCAGTTTTTGTTGTCTGTTTGCAGTCGGCCACGTTGCTATCGGGAGGAGAGCAGCCGGTGGAAAAGGAATCGTCGGAGGAATCGTCTGCAGACAGCAGTGAGGACGAGGATGAGAAGCTGGATCTTTCTTCAGCTACCAAGTAGGTGGGAGCCCATCGGGGGTACAGACGTCCCCTTCTGACCCATTGGGCCAGCAGGGGGGGGGGGGGGGGGGGAGGGTTCAGCTTGAAGCAGCCTTCATTTTCTTTTTACTAAAGCGAAGGGAGTGGTAAGAGAAAGCAGCACTCCTCTGATTGGTAGGGGGACCTGTCCATCAGACTCATGCTGACCCCGCCCCTGGCAGCGCACAATATCTCAGTGTGCAGTGGAGAGCGGTCAACTGAGCCAGAAAGGTGCGTGTGCCCTAAAACTAGGTCATGCTAAGGCCTGCTTCACACCAATGCATTTTTTTTTTTGTAAGTGCTTTTTGCAGAAATGCACTACAGTCCATTTACCCCCCCCCCCCTTCCTGACCAGGCCAATATTTTGCATTATGGCGCTGCGTTACTTTAACTGACACTTGGGCGGTCATGCAACGTTGCACCCAAATAAAATTTACATCTCCCCCCCGCGATTAGAGCTTTTTATTTGATCGCCTGTGCATTCCTATTTTTTGTGATATAAAAAAAAAAAAGACCGACAATTTTGAGGGAAAAAATTTATTTTTTTTTTTTCGTTTTGCTATTAAACATGTCCAGTGAAAAAAAAAAAAAAAAAAATCAAATTTTGTCAAATTTAGGCCAAAATGTATTCTGTGACATGTCTTTGCTAACAAAAAACAAATCCCAATACATGTAAATTAAGTGGTTTACGTGAAAGTTATAGCGTCTACAAATGATAATAAATTTTTTAAAATTTATATATTTATATATATATATATATATATAAAAATTTTTTTTTTTTTTTTTTTTTATACTCAGTTTTCCTTTTGATTTAAAAAAAAAAAAAAAATTATATATATATTTATTTTATTAACTCTTTTGGGTTTTCCTTTGATTTAACATTTTGATAGATATATATATATATATATATATATATATATATCAAAATGTTAAATCAAAGGAAAACCCAAAAGAGTTATAAAAAATTATATATATTTACTCTTTTGGGTATTCCCTTGATTTTAAAAGTTTATTTATAAAAAATGTTTAACTCTTTTGGGCTTTCCTTTGATGTAACATTTCGATTATATAAATTTTAAAATCAAGGGAAAACCCAAAAGAGTAAAAAATAAATATATATATATATATATATATATATATATATATATATATATATATATATATATATATATATATATATATATATTCTTTTGGGTTTTCCCTTGATTTAACATTTTTATATATATATATATATATATATATATATATATATATATATATATATATATATATATTTTTTTTTTTTTTAAATCAAGGGAAAACCCAAAAGAGTAAATTTATATATATATATATATATATATATATGAGAGAGATTACCATTCACCACCAAATGAAAGCCCAATTTGTCCTGGAAAAAAAAAAAGAATGCGGTATAACCCACCACAAGCTGTGATGATATGTACAGTTTTACTGACATGTCAAAGTTGCAAAATTGGTGTGAACAGGCCCTCCAAGTCAATAAAAAAATTTGTGCAAGCAAAACACAAAAGCCTAGCTCAACACTTCTACCCCTCTACTGATCCTCATGACCATGTAGCTATATGGCCCCTCCCCACAGCGATAGGTGGGGGGCCCTGTGAGTTAGGCTGTATGGGACCCCATGAATTCCAATGGCCCTGGAGCCTACTTTTAGGTAGAGCAAATGAATAAAACTGTTCTCATGGCTACTAACATGAGTCGTGTTATTCGTTGTAGCCAGTCTGGCTGCAGGGTTACCCCAGTTTTATGAAGGAGAATACAATAAGATCCCTCCAGGTGAATTATATGCAGGATATAGAAGAAGGATTTTGTGATTTCTTACCTTTTCTGTTCTGATGAAATTTCTGTGTTCCACCTCGTCCTCTGATTGTGAATAGGAAGGTTGGCCCTCGGTAGAACCACCTGAGCAGAGCCAACATAACGAGAAAAGCTGCAGCATCTGTGTCCCTTTTACCCCCCCTTCATGGTCACACCGATCCCAACTTTGAAACCACTACATTTTTTTTTTCCGCAACAACATGATGTGAAATTGAAGGCTTGGTTGGTCGAATTTCAAAATCAACGATAGCACCATCGAATTAGAGAACGCACGTTTTTGATTTTTCGATCGACAAATCATTCGGAGTTCAAACCCATGTATGGCCTGCATTAGAGTATCTCACTAAAGCAGGCCATGCATGGGTCAAATTCCGAACGATTGTTTGATCGAAAACATTGTTAGTTCTGTAATCTGATGGTGCCATCAACGTTTTAAGAATATCGGTTGTTTTTCACAAATTTTACAGCATGCCAATAAACGAAATGGGGAGGAACCATGAAAATCGGCCGGTGACATTGCCCCACTAACAGAGCGAAAATCGGCCGATTATTCTTAGGTCCCGTGTATGGCCAGCCTAAGGCTACTTTCACACTGATCCATAGCAAAAAGGCATATGCGCTTTTGCCGTGTTTTTACCGCGGTGCGTCTTTTACAAGACATGAGTTGAAAACCGCACCAAAAACGCCACGCGGGTTAGTTTTTGATGCATTTTTCTTTCATTTCAATAAGTAGGTGCAGTTTTGGTGCTTTTTTGTTTTGTCTGTTTTTGTTTTTTTTTTGGTTTTTGGTTTATTGTTTATTGTTTTGTTTGTTTCGTGTTTGTTTTTTTGTTTTGCTTTTTGTTTTTTTTGTTTTGTTTATTTTGTTTTTTGTTTCTTTTACTGCACCAAAAAACGGAATGGATCCGCCACAATGGATCAGTGTGACGAGTTCGATAGGATTACATAGTCGCACGTTTTTCTTCTGCTTTTTGTAATGCAGAATTGGCAGAAATTCGGATCCGTGTAAAAGCAGCTTAAAATGTGACCTTGTTGCTGGGATGCTCGACTGAGTGCAGACTTCTGGGAAAAGCAATGAGTCAGTCGCATACGTAGGAAGTGAGATTCCTGGGTGCTGTCTCTACTAGGTTGCCATATGGCAGGGAAGAGACATTTTGAATTTTTTTTAACCATTTTAGAAAATGAGATCCACGATAATGAGTGCTGTGTATCTAAGCCCAAAATGGGAATATATTTCTCACCAGTTTTTAGATGTGGTGGCTGCATTAGTTTTTCTTTTTTTGAGACTGGTTTTCTTTTATGTTCACCTGGTTGATAACACACGTCCTGGTCTAGGGTGACTCTACTGTATAGAGGAGCAGCATTGCCACTCTAGGACAGTGGTCTCCAGACTGCAGCCCAAGGCAGAATATGGCCCTTTGTTTGTCTTTATTTGGCCTTTGGGTCGCCATTTCTCCCACTGATAAAAGGAATTATTCCTCCCACTGTCGCCAACGATGGGGTACACGATCTCCCATTGACGCCAACCACGGGGTGCACGGTCCCCCATTGACGCCAACCACCACGGGGTGCACGGTCCCCCATTGACGCCAACCACCACGGGGTGCACGGTCCCCCATTGACGCCAACCACCACGGGGTGCACGGTCCCCCATTGACGCCAACCACCACGGGGTGCACGGTCCCCCATTGACGCCAACCACCACGGGGTGCACGGTCCCCCATTTGACGCCAACCACCACGGGGTGCACGGTCCCCCATTGACGCCAACCACCACGGGGTGCACGGTCCCCCATTGACGCCAACCACCACGGGGTGCACGGTCCCCCATTGACGCCAACCACCACGGGTTGCACGGTCTCCCATTGACGCCAACCACCACGGGGTGCACGGTCTCCCATTGACGCCAACCACCACGGGGTGCACGGTCTCCCATTGACGCCAACCACAGACCAAATTGCCGGCAACACGATCACTTCTTTATCAACAGTCTTTATTAGTACAACATGGACACGGCACGATCCATAAAACTGAAGCGTTTCGGTCAAAGCCTTCCTCAAGGCATACCATGGTGTACTCGAGGAAGGCTTTGTCCGAAAACGCGTCAACTTTTATGGATCGTGTTGCCGGCAATATCTGTACACTTTCACCTTAAGGGGTCTTTTTTTTGTTTCACACAACATTCACCCACAATTCACAGTAGGAAAAATATGTGGAACTTTTGTATTGAAAATAGACCCCGCCCCTCCCCCATGTGACAAAACGGCTTGTGTAGCAATTTATTGTAAACTTCATTTTACTAAACAGAGTTTTTTTTTTTTTTTTTCCCCCACTCCAACAGACTGACTGATGAAGACCTTGTGAAGATCTGTGGGGGGCGCACTGCTCACAAGTAAGACTCCGCCCTCTTATATGTGAAATGATGGATCTAGTGGGTCTTCGGTCTTGTTCACGTGGAACAGTTTGATCCACGCCACTCGCGGCAGCGTGTTCTACCAGCATGGGGGATGCACAGGTGGGGCATGCAGTCCCATAGCTGTCTATTAGCACAAAAGTGACATCCATGTGGGTGCAGGTGCACCCGGGGTAACTTTCGGGGGGGGGGGGGGCACACACCCCCGTGGATGTCATATTGAGTAGACTTGGATGAGAAGCAGGGAGCGCCCATATGTCTCAAGCATGCGTTATAGGCGATCATTGAGAAGCAGCAACGCGTTTCAAAAGAAGAGGACTCCCCCCCCCTTTATCAGGACCGTTGCATACTATTGGATGGGAACAGTTCCCATAGTTAGAATAAAAATGCAATCTTCAAAAAGAGGCTGCCGGCTATAGCTGCAGAGGTGTCCTGGTTTCCAGGATCTTGTTTTTAACCCCTTGCCTACCGGGCACTTATACCCCCTCCCTGCCCAGGCCAATGTTCAGCTTTCAGCGCTGTCCCACTTTTAATGACAATTGCGCGGTCATGCAACATTGTACTCATATATTTTTATCATTTTGTTGAGACACAGCTTTTTTTTTGGGGGGGGGGGGGGTTATTTTTTGCTAAACCAAAACAACTGAAAATTTAAAAAAAAAAAAAGTTTTTTCTTAGTTATAAAATTTTGTAAATAAGTGATTTCTCTCCTTCACTTATGTGCGCTAATGAGGCTGCAGTGATGGGCACTGATAGGCTGCACTGATGAGGAGGTACTGGTAGGCATCACTGATGGCCACTGAAAGGCAGCACTCATATATGGCACTGTTAGGCGGCACTGAAAGGCAGCTCAGATGGGCACTGATATGTGGCATTGATGTGCACTGATATGTGGCATTGATGTGCACTGGTAGGCACTGATATGTGGTATTGATGGGCACTGGCAGGTGGCACTGAGCAGCCTGGATCCTCTTCGCAGGTCCCTTGCCGGCGCTCCTGGCTCCTCCTTTCTTTCGGGTGCCCCCATAACAAGCAGCTTACTATGGGGGCACCTGAGCAGCAGGTGTGTTCCCAAGCTGCTGCTCCGTGTGTTTGTACACACACAGAGCTGCTGCTTGCCCCCACTCCCCTCTTCTCATTGGCTGACTGGCTGTGATTGACAGCAGTGCTCCCGCTTGCTGTCTCAGCCAATGAGGAGGCAGAGACCCTGGGACAGCTGAGGCTGTCGTGCACATCGCTCGATCGCTATGGGGCTCAGGTAAGAATTTGGGGTGCACTGCTGCACACAGAAGGGTTTTTTGTAAAAAAAAAAAAAAAACCTTGATCCTTTACAAACACTTTATTATAACCGCTATGGGAACAATTCCCATCCAATAGCATGCAACAGCCCTGAAGAAGGGGGAATCTTTTCCCCTGAAACGCATTGGCTTGATGCACCTCTCAATAAACGTGTATGAACTATGCTTTAGCAGTTGTATTTCTCTAGAAACCCGGCCCTTCTTGCATCTCATCCAAGTCTACATGCTGAAACAACCACAAGATCGCACACAAAAAAAAAAAAATAGCAGCCCAACCCCAAAGAGGGCTCATCGTCACTATCCATCATTGGGCACAATCCACTGGGAGGTTTTTTTGCCAACAGAAATACCCACCCACGGCCAGTGACCAATCCAGTCGGACCAGCGTGCTCTCCAACACAAAATATTGAGTAGTGGCTGCGTCCGTGCGTCCCAATAGACGGCTATGGACTCCGATCGCCGTACGGGAAATCTGTGTGAGGTCCCGATCATGTGATCACTGATTGGCCAATCAGTGATCACATGAATAGTAGTAAGCAAGATGTCACGTCTGACATCATTGCTTACTACTAGTGAAATCTGTGAATGATCACAGAAGTCACATGGTACAGGGCTATTCACAACAGCCTTGTACCATGTGACCAATCACAGCTCTCACAGTATTTCTCAATGGCTGCAAGAGAGAGAAGAGGAAATGATTGCTTTTACAGCCTTTGAGTGTGTAAAAAAAAAATCATCACCCCCCCACAAGTAGTACAGTGACACAATAGCTCACAAGAATCACACAATTTTTAAAAGGTGTATTTTTATACTGTCTGGCACCATCTCCACTGTTCAATTTTCTTGCCAGACTTCAGTAAAAACACTTGGAAGAAGCATCCACAGCCGCTTTTGAACAGGGGGTTGTAGCGCAGAGACCTTCTGTATTGAGAGATCAGAATCAAGGGCTTAAGGTTGCCAAAGATGTTGGTTTGCCAAGATTACTCATGCCTACAGCATTTTTTTTTTTTCTTTTCAAGGTTTCTAATCAAACATTTTTCTTCTGTTGTAGAGGAGCCAGGCACGGCCTGACAATGAATGCAAAGCTCTCCAGGATTGAAGAGCAAGAAAGAGCTTTTCTGGAAAAATACGGGAAGGAGAAACCAAATAAAGAACCCTCCAGATCAACCTTAGAAAAGGATGTAGAGACTGGAAGAAAGAAGGAAAACCACAGAGTGGATATTACCGGTGAAGACATCTCATTCAACAACACACAACGTAAGCAGAAGAAAAAGGGAAAGAAAAGGGTCAACGATGAAGAGGGTTTGGAGGACGACAGAACCAATGGTTATGAGGAACACATTCCTTGGAAAAATGAGGCCACTATTGCCTCAAAGAAAAATGTAGACAATAAAGAGTTGGTGGATGCTTTTAACGGTGTAGCTTCTTCAGAAACAGAACTGGGATACTCAAAAAGAAGAAAAAGAAGAAAGCCAAAGAGGCTGACCACCTTGAAGACCATGATAATCCTTTAGAAGATGATAAACAGTCATCCAAGAAGAAAAAGAAGAAAGTCAAAGAGGCTGACCACCTTGAAGACCATGATAATCTTTTAGAAGATGATAAACAGTCATCCAAGAAGAAAAAGAAGAAAGTCAAAGAGGCTGAAGATCTTGAAGACCACACTCAAACTAAAGAAGATGACGTACAGTCATCGAGAAAGAAGAAAGTCGAAGAAGATGCTCACGATCTTGAAGACCATGCTCAACCTATAGAAGATGGCATACAGTTATCCAGAAAGAGAAAGAAGAAAGTTAAAGAAGATGCTCACGATCTTGAAGACCATACTCAACCTATAGAAGACAGTGTACAGTCATCTAGAAAGAAAAAAAAGAAAGTCGAAGAAGATGCTCAACCTGTAGAAGATGGCGTACAGTCATCCAGAAAGAAAAAAAAGAAAGCCAAAGAGGATGCTCAAAATCTTGAAGATCATGCTCAACCTTTAGAAGATGATTTACGGTCATCCAAGAAGAAAGTCAAAGAAGAGGCTGACCTTCTTGAAGACCATGATCAATCTCCAGAAGACAATATACAATCCTCAAAGAAGAAAAAAGAGCAGGATGAGACAACCGAGGAGAAGCTTCCCAATGGTCATCAAGAATGGGCTCCTTCAGAAGACCTTCGACTGACAAAGAAGGTGAGAAAAGACCTGGAAGAGAGGGTTGCAGAGGAAGGAGATGAGTCAACAGAAGACTATGTCCAATCTTTGAAAAAGAAGAAAAAGCAAAAGAAAGTACAAGAGTTTGATGGGCACGTGTCCATAGAAGAAGAATACCAAACCACAAAGAAAAAAAAGAGGAGCAAAAACAAATACAGAGACTGTTCAAACCCAGAAGAGGAGTCGGAACCTGCTGTAGACAACACGGAACATACGATGAAGCGTAAAAAAAAAAAGCGGAAAGAGTAGTCTGCATAGAATGTTGCTTCATTCTTAAAGCTGAAATTTTAGTTTTGTTAAAAAGGTACCAAAAAAAAATCGTCCAAGGCGATTTTTATTCACATTGCAAGGCTTTTAGCCAATTACATTGCAACTTCTTACCTGCATCAATTGTAGAATTATGGACACGCTCTTTGTTGGGTCTTCATCTAAAACTGGCTGCTGATTTGAAGGAAAAGGGTTGCCGTTTGCAAGCCCATAGGATTGACGTGTGGAGGCTTAGATGCTGGCATCCATGTTCCTCACATGCATCTCCCAGCAAAAGAACTGGCCGCACACGGATGACATCGGTGTTTCAATAAGGCTTTATGGCCAGGGCTACTGTTAGAAACCATGGGGCCCCCATACAGCCAACCTGACAGGGTCCTACCCCCCTCCACAAAAAAAACAGTTTACTATACTAGTTATGTATGAACACAGTGAGTGATTGTTACCGATCGCTCATTGTGTTCATTCAGGAAAGGATGGGGCTGGTAAAAATTTTTTAACAGTGAGTGATCGGTACTGATCACTCATTGTGTTCATTCAGGAAAGCAAGGGCTGGTAAATTTGACATATTTACTGGACCCTTCCCCTACTCTCTATCTGGAAGAATCCTATTCTGTGCTTGCAGATGCCAGTGGAATGGAGAGGGGGGAAGCAGCAGCACTGTGGGGGCACACGGGTGCCTGGGCAGCAGGGGGAAACCTCTGTTGCACAGGGAGGGTGGTGGATGCAGCAGGGGGCAGTTACTGCAGCCGATCCCCTGTATGGGTCTCTCTTCAGCAGCTAAAAAGCCAGTGGGAAGGTGGGGGGGGGAGAAGCTGGCTTTCAGCTGTTAAGAAGGGAGCCATACAGGGGATCGGTTCCGGTAAATCCCCCCCTCCCCTGCTGTGGCGATCACCCTTCCTACCAACATCCAGTTCACCCAGCTGCCTGGGCCCCGTACAGGAGGACTGGTGGTACCCCCTCATCCACGGCCCTGTTTATGGCTATGGACAACATGCGCAAAGAAGCTTGGCCAGGGAGGTTCCTAGGTGGGACTTGTGTGCATGTTCTCCTGAACAATAAAGCTTTAATGGCAAGGTTGAGCTCATGGCTGTTTCTTTTGCTGCTGATTTGGAGGGTCTGCCTCCTCTAAGCATCTGATGATTACAGCAAGAAAACCTGTGGCCCCTGCACCGTGTGATGGTTTGATAGACCTGCTGCAGGGGACGGCTCTAATGTTGCCTCCAGTGCTGTGCAGACGTCCAAGCAGAAAGGAATTCTGGGAAATCCCATAGGTGGGGTACCTTTCCAGAGACAATACTTCAATGTTTTGACAGTTTTATTAACTTGGAGCAGGTAAAGAATTATTTTTTTTTTTAATCTACACAATGGCTTTTGTACTATTTATACTGTATGTATATTTTTAAACCAAAGAGGAGTCCTTCTCTGACTTCATCTAAAACACGGGGTGTCAAACTGGCGGCCCTCGAGCTGGTGCAGAACTACAAATCCCATGAGGCATTGCAAGGCTGACAGTTACATGACTCCCACAGGCAGACATGATGGGACTTTTAGTTCCGCAGCAGCAGCTAGAGGGCTGCCAGTTTGACACCCCTGGAAGAGCGGTAGACCAGTCTGAGATCTAGAAATGTATATGTAATTGCAGTGTTATTGTGGGGGGGGGGTGGTAATAATAAAATAAAGGCTGACATCAAAATGTCTATTTAAACCTGAGTGTGGGATACTTTGTTCAGCTTGGATGGGCTACACTGGTCTACAAGGAGAAAAGCCTCGGAAATGAAAGGAGATACATTTTTACCAGAATTGGGTCAGTGTCTGTTCGCAAATATGCGGTTTGAACCGCATCCAATCCGCATGACGTGGGGGAACCCCAAAACGTTGCTTCCTATGGTGCCTGTTCACGTACATCTGATGTACTGGCAGTGTGGATTAAGTACAGTTTTAATCACTTGCCTGCTGGGCACTTCTACCCCCTTCCTGCCCAGGCCAATTTTCAACACTGTCTTACTTTGAATGATAATTACACGGTCATGCGACATATAGTTTGTCTGGCTGACAAAAGTACATCCAGTTTAACCATAGAAAAAAAAAAAAAGTTATAATCCTACACCCAGATTTGATCCAGAGGAAGGCAAAAAAACCCCAGAAAAGCACGATCCAAATTGCTCCTGCTGGGAAAAAAATTCCTTCCTGATCCCCCCAGAGGCAATCGGATATTCCCTGCCAAAATATCACCTATAAATGTTATATCCAGTTATATTCTGTGTATCCAAGAAAGAATCCAGGACTTTCCTACAGCAATCCACTGAGCTGGCCACAACCAACTCTTGAGGGAGTCTATTCCACATTCTCACAGCTCTTACTGTGAAGAAACCTTTCCGTGTTTGGAGATTAAATTTATTTTCCTCCAGACGTAAAGAGCGCCCCCTTGTCCTCTGTGATGACTTTGTATCCATATGAAATTTGTATCATTTTTTTCACTCCTAGAGCTTTCTTTTGGTGGTATTTAATCGCCGCTGGGTGTTTGCACTTTTTTTGTTTATAGTGCAAAAAGTCAAAGTGAAAAAAAAGAGCAAAAAATGTGCGAAAACAAAAAAACAAATGTGCAAAAAAAAGCAAATGCGAAAGAGCAAAAATGTGCAAAAAGGAGCAGCAAAATGTAGGAAAAAAAGAACAAAAAAAGCAAATGTGAAAGAGCAGAAAATGTGCAAAAAAAAGCAAATGTGAAAAAAAAGCGCACAAATTTGCAAAAATGTGCGAAAAAAAAAAAACACAAAAAAAGCAAAATGTGCAAAAGAAGCGCACAAATTTGCAAAAATGTGCAAAAAAAGCAAATGCGAAAGAGCAAAAATGTGCAAAAAAAAGCAGCAAAATGTAGAAAAAAAAAAGAGCAAAAAAGCAAATGAGCACAAAAAAAGCAAATGTGAAAAAGAGCAGAAAATGTGCAAACAAACAAAAAAAATGTCCAAAAAAGCAAAATGTGAAAAGAGCAAAAAATGTCCAAAAAAAAGCAAAATGTGAAAAAAAACAAAAAAGCAAATGTGCAAAAGAAGCGCAAAAAAAGCACAAAAATTTGCAAAAACAAATGTGAAAGAGAAAAAATGTGCAAAAAAAAAAAGCAGCAAAATGTAGAAAAAAAAGCAAAATGTGAAAGAGCAGAAACTGTGCAAAAAAAGTCCAGAAAAAGCAAATGTGAAAAAAAGAGCAAAAAAAGTTTGTTTCTATTATAAAATTTTGCAAACAGGTAATTTTTCTCCTTCACTGTGCATTGATGGGGCTGCACGGGTAGGTGGCATGATGAGTTGGCACTGATGGGCACAGGTGGGCAGCACTAATCCCTTCGCTGGCAATTGCCGGTTCTCGGCAGTACTTTCCTCACGCTGTGACAGGGTGAGGAAAGTGCAGCCGACAACCGGCAACTGTATTTACCCAGTGATTGCTGTGTTATCGGACACAGCTGATCATGTGGTAAAAGGCCGCTGTGATTGGCCGTTTACCGTACCACGTGATCAGCTGTGTTCATAGGACACCGCAATCACCGCTGGGGCACACGTTCTGGAATGACGTCCGTGGATGTCGTCCCAGAACTAGACAACCGTGCTGTAGCCATCCTTCTGCTATAGCACGGTTAGGAACTGGATAAAGAGTCATCCGATTTCTGAGCGGTGAGGTCCAGTTTAGGCACGTCACACTGGTGGCCCCCCAGCTGTTGCCAAACTACAAGTCCCATGAGGCATTGCAAGATTGACAGTTACAAGCATGACTCCCAAAGGCAGGAGCATGATGGGACTTGTAGTTTCACAACAGCTGGAGGGTCGCCAGTTTGACACCCCTGCTCTATAGTGTGTTCTTGCCTCAATTCAGAGCACTAAGGCCCCTTTCACCTGGTGGTTAGATTTCAGCTTTTAGCTGCGGTTAGCGGAATTTACCGCAGCTAAATGCAGACAATGCATCCCTATGGCTCCGTTCACACGCTGCGTTTAGCAACGTTTTCATTACATACGCTTTTATGCGTTTAGGAAAAATAAAGTTGACAGCGTCCAGGAGCGATGTGCCGCAGCTATCTGTACATAAACGCAGTACAAAGAAAAAAAAAGTAAACAGTTGCATTAGAAAAGGCAAGAATTTGGTAAAAAAAAATTTATATATATATGTATTATATATATATATATATATATATATATTTTACACTTTTTTTTTTTTTTTGGTAAAAAATAAAAAAAGTTTAGGTTTTTTTTTTTTTTTTTAAGACCAGTCAGCTCTAGCCTGGAATTTCTTTTAAAGATAAATTTCAGCTTTTAGCTGCGGTTAGAGGAATTTACCGCAGCTAAATGCAGACAATGCATCCCTATGGCTCCGTTCCCACACTGCGTTTAGCAACATTTTCCTAACATACGGTTTTATGCGTTTAGGAAAAATAAAGTTGACAGCGTCCAGGAGCGATGTGCCGCAGCTATCTGTACATAAACGCAGTACAAAGAAAAAAAAAAATAAGTAAAAACAGTTGCTATAGAAAAGGCAAGAATTTACTACCGCAGATAAAACGCAAGTGATCTCTGTGCCAGGAGTGTTGGAATTTCAAAATAATAAAAACTGCATTTACAAGCGGCAGAACAACCGCCGGTGTGAAAGAGGCCCAGGTGTCATTTCTGTCTGCTGCCTTGTTCTTCTGCTATCAGCATGAATCGCTTCTGACAAGCTTTTCTGACACCAAGAGGAAAAAAAAAAAAAAAAGCGACGGGAGGGCATAGTCTGTGATTGACAGCCTCAGCTGTTCCTGTGAAGTGGGGGTGTGTCCTTTCCCTCCAATCAGCTCTCAGAGCTCTTCTCCCTGCCCCTAACTTCAGCTCCCTGCCCCCTGCTTTTCAGCAATGAGAGACCCCGTGTAAATGTTGCACTATAAATGTAGAGAGGACAGGTAGCTACAGATAAACAGGTACAACTTATGTAGGCGGAATTGTTTCACTGGGTCTATGTAGGAGTTTGCAATCACTTTAAAGGCAGGTTCCTCATTTGACAGTGAAATAATTGCCTTGAGCTGACCTAGAAAGCCATGATGGTGAACCATTCTTGGAAATCCCCACCGAAGCTACACCGGATACAGAAAAACAACTCCTTTAATTCAAATATTTTTTTTTCTAAAGTGCACCAATCAGAATATTTGTAATATAAACAAATCTATAAATGTACCGCTAGCCGAGCAATAAGAACGTCACAGCAAGCTTCCAATGCTCTGTATGCAGCGAGTGCTCCGGGTCCAGTACTTGGTCAAGGCAGTTTGCGGACACATTCGGTATCCGGATACGGGGGGAGGTTCAGGTTATACTTCTTCTCCAGTGCCTTGGGGACAAAGCGCCCCCCCAGGTAGTGGTAGCGTCCTAAGAAGTGTATGGCTGATTGTTTGGGGGCGGTCAGAGAGATCAGCATGTCCGGTTGAATGCCGTCCGGGTTTCCTTTCTCCACATCCCATCCTGGAAACAACAAACAAGTTATATTTGATACTTAGAACGAAACAAAAGTAGAACTAAAAAGGCAACGAAACAAAAGTAGTACTAAAAAGGCAACATTTGTTTTCCCTGTCTGGACAGCATAATGGGGGGTTATAGTCTGGTCAGGTTTTTTGCCATCTGTGGCCCACTGGGGAGATTTCCCTAAACTTCCTGTCCCACAGCCTCAACAGGAAATGAGAGGAAATCCCTGGAACTAATGTCCGCATAGAAAAATGTCCCCTCTATTCTTCTTCTGATGACAGCCCAATATTTCATGTAACCGCTTCTTGCTACAGGGCGGCACAGGTGCGCAATATCACACACCCACATACATACATACATACATACATACATACATATACATACATATATATATATATATATATATATATATATATATATACACACACACACACACATATATATACACACACACACATATATATATACACACACACACATATATATATATATACACACACACATACATACACATACACAGTGGGGATCAAAAGTTTGGGCACCCCAGCTACACATTTGTATTAATGTGCATAAAGAAGCCAAGGAAAGATGGAAAAATCTCCAAAAGGCATCAAATTACAGATTAGACATTCTTATAATATGTCAACAAAAGTTAGATTTTATTTCCATCATTTACACTTTCAAAATAACAGAAAACAAAAAAATGGCGTCTGCAAAAGTTTGGGCACCCTGCAGCGTTAATATCTTGTACTGCCCCCTTTGCCAAGCTGAGACCTGCCAGCGTCATGGATTGTTCTCAATCATTGTCTGGGAAGACCAGGTGATGTCAATCTCAAAGGTTTTAAATGCCCAGACTCATCTGACCTTGCCCCAACAATCAGCACCATGGGTTCTTCTAAGCAGTTGTCTAGAAAACTGAAACTGAAAATAGTTGACGCTCACAACGCTGGAGAAGGCTATAAGAAGATAGCAAAGCGTTTTCAGATGTCAATATCCTCTGTTCGGAATGTAATTAAGAAATGGCAGTCATCAGGAACAGTGGAAGTTAAAGCAACATCTGGAAGACCAAGAAAAATATCAGACAGAACAGCTCGCAGGATTGTGAGAAAAACAATTCAAAACCCACGTTTGACTGCACGATCCCTCCAGAAAGATCTGGCAGACACTGGAGTTGTGGTACACTATTCCACTATAAAGAGATACTTGTACAAATATGGTCTTCATGGAAGAGTCATCAGAAGAAAACCTCTTCTACGTCCTCACCACAAAAATCATCGTTTGAACTTTGCAAATGAACATATAGACACGCCTGATGCATTTTGGAAACAAGTTCTGTGGACCGAAGAGGTTAAAATTGAACTTTTTGGCCGGAATGAGCAAAGGTACGTTTGGAGAAGAAGGGGCACAGAATTTAATGAAAAGAACCTCTGTCCAACTGTTAAGCATGGGGTTGGATCAATCATGCTTTGGAGTTGTGTTGCAGCCAGTGGCACAGGGAACATCTCACGAGTAGAAGGAAAAATGGATTCAATACAATTTCAGAAAATTTTGGATGGTAACTTGATGCCATCTGTGAAAAAGCTGAAGTTAAAGAGAGGATGGCTTCTACAAATGGATAATGATCCTAAACACACCTCAAAATCCACGGGGGATTACATCAAGAGGCGTAAACTGAAGGTTTTGCCATGGCCTTCACAATCTCCTGACCTCAACATAATTGAAAATCTATGGATAGACCTTAAAAGAGCCGTGTGTGACAGACAGCCCAGAAATCTCAAAGAACTGGAAGACTTTTGTAAGGAAGAATGGGCAAAGATACCTCAAATAAGAATTGAAAGACTCTTGGCTGGCTACAAAAAGCGTTTACAAGCTGTGATACTTGCCAAAGGGGGCAGTACAAGATATTAACTCTGCAGGGTGCCCAAACTTTTGCAGACGCCATTTTTTTCTTTTCTGTTATTTTGAAAGTGTAAATGATGGAAATAAAATCTAACTTTTGTTGACATATTATAAGAATGTCTAATCTGTAATTTGATGCCTTTTGGAGATTTTTCCATCTTTCCTTGGCTTCTTTATGCACATTAATACAAATGTTTAGCTGGGGTGCCCAAACTTTCGATCCCCACTGTGTATATGTATGTATGTATGTATGTATGTATGTATATATATACACACACACACACACACACACGTGATTTTGCAGTTCTGAGTAGGGGGTGTGCATGCACCGCCATGGCTGTCAATCACCAGGTCCCGGCCTGCGATTTCTCGCCAGCACCTGGTGATCGCCAAGTATCTCCGATGTGTATAAACAACACAGGTCTCTCCCGTCAGCTCCTGTACACTGCTTTGTATGGCTCTGCACAGCCATACCAAGCAGCGTGCTTACAGTGGAAAGCACAGCCTTAGAGTAAAGCACTCCCAGCACACAGTAAACCCTTTGATCGCCCCAGATGTGAACCCCTTCCTGCCCAGTGCCATTACTACAGTGTCAGTGCTTTTTATTAGCACTGATCCCTGTATTGGTGTCACTTGGGAAGTCAATGACACAAACTCAGTTCCCCCCCGTGTCAGAATGTCCGCCACAGTCCTGCTATAAGTCGCTGATCGCCGCCATCACTAGTATAACAAAAAAAAAAAAAATTCCAGTGTATATGCCACCATTTGCCCCATAGTAAAACAGCACAAAGCACAGTTAACCCTTTGAGCGCCCCATATGTGAACCCCTTCCTGCCCAGTGCCATTAGTACAGTGTCAGTGCTTTATATTAGCACTGATCGCTGTACTGGTGTCACTGGGGATATCACATTTAGGAGGTATTTACAGTACCTACCACTAAGTCTTATTAACCCCTTGCCACCCCCTTCCTGCCCAGGCCAATTTTCAGCTCTGTTGAAATTTGAATGACAATTGCGCAGTCATGCAACACCGTACCCATATGAAATTTGTATCTTTTTTTGAGACAGATAGGAGGTAATTGAATCACCACTGGGGGTTTTTTTTTTTTTTGCTAAATTTAAAAAAACAAAAATATTTGAAAAAAAATTAGTTTCGGTTATAAAAATGTTGTAAATAAGTAATTTTTCTCCTTCACTGATGTGCGCTGGTAGGCTGCATTGATGGGCGCTGGTAGGCTGCATTGATGGGCGCTGGTAGGCTGCATTGATGGGCGCTGGTAGGCTGCATTGATGGGCGCTGGTAGGCTGCATTGATGGGCGCTGGTAGGCTGCATTGATGGGCGCTGGTAGGCTGCATTGATGGGCACTGAAAGGCAGCACTCATATAAAGGCACTGATAGGCAGCACTGATGGGCAGTGACATGTGGCACTGATGGGGCTACACAGAGTCAAGGCACTGATGATCAGTGTAGATGTCCCCTCTGAGGAATGCCACTTACCGGCTCTCCTCACGTGCTGTCAGCGTCAGGAGAGGATTGCCGATAACACCATTTCCTATATTACATGTGATCAGCTGTGATTGGACACAGCTGATCACATGATAGAGCCTATGTCATTGGCTCTTTACTGCGATCGGTGATCCGCTGTGTCCCAGGAACACAGCGCACCACCGATCGCCACTGGGGGCGCGCATGCGCAGCTAGAGTGGGGGAAAATTGCATGACGTCTCCTCCCTGAACGAGAAACCGGCCACCCTCCCGTCATTTCCTTAGATGGCGAGTGGGAGGAAGCTAAAGGCTTACCTGTAGGTAAAACATGAAAAACAAAACACAACTTTAATTCCACTTTGACGGTATTTACTATACATACGGGGAGATTTACTAACACTGGCGCACTCAGCATTTAGCATGGTAGCCAATCATCTTCTAACTTCAGCTTGTTCAATGCAGTTTTGACAACAAGACCTGAAAGCTAATTAGTTTCTATGCAGATTTTGCACTCCAGTTAAAGTAAACCCCCCCCCAATGTGTTAGAATGGCGGTGGTCTGTACCCGATGGGATGTCCACGCTGGCGATCGGTATGGTGATCCGTTTTAAGGTGCTCAGGATAGTTCCGAAAGGCTCTCTCACGGCCCCCTGGAAGCTGAAACCGAAGATGGCGTCCACAACCAACTGATAGGCTCCATCGATCACCTCGGCCTGGAGGAGAAATCGGAAAAGAGTTCTAAACCTACGTAGCCACAAGATGTACTCCATGTGGTGCTGCCTAAACCAGCCAATCAGATTGTAGAGCGTTATAGAGACCTCTACTGGCAGAAATATGGAACATGCTACTCTCTCCTTTAATAAAATACTGATTGATTGAAACAACAGCATGACAGTCAAACATTTTTTGGCTCTTTTCACACAAGAGAGGACAATTCTACCGACACCAATGATGGGGCATTATTCCTCCCCCCGATACCAACAGTAGGACACTATTCCTTTCAATGACATCAGCAACGGGGCATTATTCCTCCCACTGATACCAACAACGGGGCACAAATTTGTCCCACTGACACCAACGATGAGCATTATTCCTCTCACTGATACCAATGATGGTATCATTGGGAGGACTAGTGCCCCGTCATTGGTGTCAGTGGGAAGACTAGTGCCCCGTCATTGGTGTCAGTGGGAAGACTAGTGCCCCGTCATTGGTGTCAGTGGGAAGACTAGTGCCCCGTCATTGGGTGTCAGTGGGGGACTAGTGCCCCGTCATTGGTGTCAGTGGGAGGACTAGTGCCCCGTCATTGGTGTCAGTGGGAGGACTAGTGCCCCGTCATTTGGTCAGTGGGAGGACTAGTGCCCCGTCATTGGTGTCAGTGGGAGGACTAGTGCCCCGTCATTGGTGTCAGTGGGAGGACTAGTGCCCCGTCATTGGTGTAGTGACCCCGTCATTGGTGTCAGTGGGAGGACTAGTGCCCCGTCATTGGTGTCAGTGGGAGGACTAGTGCCCCGTCATTGGTGTCAGTGGGAGGACTAGTGCCCCGTCATTGGTCAGTGGGAGGACTAGTGCCCCGTCATTGGTGTCAGTGGGAGGACTAGTGCCCCGTCATTGGTGTCAGTGGGAGGACTAGTGCCCCGTCATTGGTGTCAGTGGGAGGACTAGTGCCCCGTCATTGGTGTCAGTGGGAGGACTAGTGCCCCGTCATTGGTGTCAGTGGGAGGACTAGTGCCCCGTCATTGGTGTCAGTGGGAGGACTAGTGCCCGTCGTCATGGGAGGGTGTCAGTGGGAGGACTAGTGCCCCGTCATTGGTGTCAGTGGGAGGACTAGTGCCCCGTCATTGGTGTCAGTGGGAGGACTAGTGCCCCGTCATTGTGTGTCATGGGAGGACTAGTGCCCCGTCATTGGTGTCAGTGGGAGGACTAGTGCCCCGTCATTGGTGTCAGTGGGAGGACTAGTGCCCCCCGTCATTGGTGTCAGTGGGAGGACTAGTGCCCCGTCATTGGTGTCAGTGGGAGGACTAGTGCCCCGTCATTGGTGTCAGTGGGAGGACTAGTGCCCCGTCATTGGTGTCAGTGGGAGGACTAGTGCCCCGTCATTGGTGTCAGTGGGTGGGAGGACTAGACTAGTGCCCCGTCATTGGTGTCAGTGGGAGGACTAGTGCCCCGTCATTGGTGTCAGTGGGAGGACTAGTGCCCCGTCATTGGTGTCAGTGGGAGGACTAGTGCCCCGTCATTGGTGTCAGTGGGAGGACTAGTGCCCCGTCATTGGTGTCAGTGGGAGGACTAGTGCCCCGTCATTGGTGGGAGGACTAGTGCCCCGTCATTGGTGTCAGTGGGAGGACTAGTGCCCCGTCATTGGTGTCAGTGGGAGGACTAGTGCCCCGTCATTGGTGCAGTGGGAGGACTAGTGCCCCGTCATTGGTGTCAGTGGGAGGACTAGTGCCCCGTCATTGGTGTCAGTGGAGTGCCCCGTCATTGGAGGACTAGTGCCCCGTCATTGGTGTCAGTGGGAGGACTAGTGCCCCGTCATTGGTGTCAGTGGGAGGACTAGTGCCCCGTCATTGGTGTCAGTGGGAGGACTAGTGCCCCGTCATTGGTGTTGGGAGGACTAGTGCCCCGTCATTGGTGTCAGTGGGAGGACTAGTGCCCCGTCATTGGTGTCAGTGGGAGGACTAGTGCCCCGTCATTGGTGTCAGTGGGAGGACTAGTGCCCCGTCATTGGTGTCAGTGGGAGGACTAGTGCCCCGTCATTGGTGTCAGTGGGAGGACTAGTGCCCCGTCATTGGTGTCAGTGGGAGGACTAGTGCCCCGTCATTGGTGTCAGTGGAGGACTAGTGCCCCGTCATTGGTGTCAGTGGGAGGACTAGTGCCCCGTCATTGGTGTCAGTGGGAGGACTAGTGCCCCGTCATTGGTGTCAGTGGGAGGACTAGTGCCCCGTCATTGTGTCAGTGGGAGGACTCAGTGGGAGGACTAGTGCCCCGTCATTGGTGTCAGTGGGGTGCCCCGTCATTGGTGTCAGTGGGAGGACTAGTGCCCCGTCATTGGTGTCAGTGGGAGGACTAGTGCCCCGTCATTGGTGTCAGTGGGAGGACTAGTGCCCCGTCATTGGTGTCAGTGGGAGGACTAGTGCCCCGTCATTGGTGTCAGTGGGAGGACTAGTGCCCCGTCATTGGGAGGACTAGTGCCCCGTCATTGGTGGGAGGACTAGTGCCCCGTCATTGGTGTCAGTGGGAGGACTAGTGCCCCGTCATTGGTGTCAGTGGGAGGACTAGTGCCCCGTCATTGGTGTCAGTGGGAGGACTAGTGCCCCGTCATTGGTGTCAGTGGGAGGACTAGTGCCCCGTCATTGGGTGTCACTAGTGGGAGGACTAGTGCCCCGTCATTGGTGTCAGTGGGGGACTAGTGCCCCTATTGGTGTGGAGGACTAGTGCCCCGTCATTGGTGTCAGTGGGAGGACTAGTGCCCCGTCATTGGTGTCAGTGGGAGGACTAGTGCCCCGTCATTGGTGTCAGTGGGAGGACTAGTAGTGTGGGAGGACCCCGTCATTGGTGTCAGTGGGAGGACTAGTGCCCCGTCATTGGTGTCAGTGGGAGGACTAGTGCCCCGTCATTGGTGTCAGTGGGAGGACTAGTGCCCCGTCATTGGTGTCAGTGGGAGGACTAGTGCCCCGTCATTGGTGTCAGTGGGAGGACTAGTGCCCCGTCATTGGTGTCAGTGGGAGGACTAGTGCCCCGTCATTGGTGTCAGTGGGAGGACTAGTGCCCCGTCATAGTGTCAGTGGGAGGACCCCGTCATTGGTGTCAGTGGGAGGACTAGTGCCCCGTCATTGGTGTCAGTGGGAGGACTAGTGCCCCGTCATTGGTGTCAGTGGGAGTGGAGGGACTAGTGCCCCGTCATTGGTGTCAGTGGGAGACTAGTGCCCGTCATTGGTGTCAGTGGGAGGACTAGTGCCCCGTCATTGGTGTCAGTGGGAGGACTAGTGCCCCGTCATTGGTGTCAGTGGGAGGACTAGTGCCCCGTCATTGGGTCAGGAGGACTAGTGCCCCGTCATGGTGGTGTCAGTGGGAGGACTAGTGCCCCGTCATTGGTGTCAGTGGGAGGACTAGTGCCCCGTCATTGGTGTCAGTGGGAGGACTAGTGCCCCATCATTGGTGTCAGTGGGAGGACTAGTGCCCATCATTGGTGTCAGTGGGAGGACTAGTCCCATCATTGGTGTCAGTGGGAGGACTAGTGCCCCATCATTGGTAGTGGGAATAGTGCCCATTGTTGGTGTCAGTGGGATGAATTGTGCCCCATTGTTGGTATCAGTGGGAGGTATAATGCCCTATCGTTGGCTTCAGGGAAAAGAATAATGCCCCCACTGTTAGGGCACTGTTTCTCCCAATGACACCAACAGTGGGGCATTATTCCTTTCGCTGAAGCCAACGATGGGGCACAATTCCTCCCACTGACAACACTGGGGCACCATTTCTACCTCTGACACCAATGATGGCGCATTATTCCTTCCCTCTGACACCAATGATGGGGTACTATTCCTTCCCACTGACACCAACAATGGGGTACTATTCCTTCCCACTGACACCAACGATGGGGCACTATTCCTCCCACTGATACAATGATGGGGCACTATTCCTCCCACTGACACCAGTGATGGGGCACTATTCCTCCCACTGACACCAACGATGGGGCACTATTCCTCCCACTGATACCAATGATGGGGCACTATTCCTCCCACTGATACCAATGATGGGGCACTATTCCTCCCACTGATACCAATGATGGGGCACTATTCCTCCCACTGATACCAATGATGGGGCACTATTCCTCCCACTGACACCAATGATGGGGCACTATTCCTCCCACTGATACCAATGATGGGGCACTATTCCTCCCACTGACACCAATGATGGGGCACTATTCCTCCCACTGACACCAATGATGGGGCACTATTCCTTCCACTGATACCAATGATGGGGCACTATTCCTCCCACTGACACCAATGATGGGGCACTATTCCTTCCACTGATACCAATGATGGGGCACTATTCCTCCCACTGATACCAATGATGGGGGCATTATTCTTTCCCCTGGTATCAGAGATGAGGCACAATTCCTCCTTATGACACCAACAATGGGGTACTGTTTATTCCCATTGACGCCCCAGGGCATTTTCTACTCACACTGACAGACTGGCCCACCCAGAGTCTGAAAAACAGTAAACTGTCCCTTTGTTTAAAAAGTTTAGAGACCCCTGGCCTAGCAGATCCAAGTGGCAGTTGGCACTACCCCCCCACCACCTCCCCCATCGCTGCCTGCAGCCCCCTGGTACACATGACAGGTCCCGGAAGGCTGAAGATCCATTCACAAAAGCGCAGTGCAGCTCACAAATGCAAAGTGGGCAGCTGGCTGTGAAGCTAAAAGGAATCACAGTTAACATGCCGGGACCCAGACTGGTGAAGTAGCCAACCCGGGTGAGGACGGCGCTGGATCCTCGGACAGGCGAATGTCTCTTTATTAAAAGTTAATATTTGAAAAAAAAGAACCTCTTTACAGTAGCAGCAAAGAGATCATTTGGTTACCTCATTTGGGAACTCTGTGAGAAAAGGGATGTCCATCTTCTGGCACTGTGTGGTCAAATTCTCAAACAGCGGCTTGTTGGGGCGCTTGGGGTAAAAGATGGCGGGTTCATAGCCCTGGGCATGGAAAAACAAAAACCAATGTGATTCTCAAAATCTACACACAGTAAAGACCTTCCTCAGAGCGAGAGTTTCCGAAATGACTTACGAACAGTTTCAGGTGTCTGGCGCACACCAGGCCGTCTCCTCCATTGTTCCCCGGACCACAGACCACCAGCACCGACGGCAGGTTGGAAGTGAAGGAGCTCACCGGGTAGGCCTGACGATAGACGAGCAAATGTTACGGAGACAGAATCAGACACACAATACTAATCATGCCAATCAACTACGTCCCACTCAGCTCAACTCTCTCCTACATGTAAAAATCATATTTTTTTTTTTTTTGCTAGAAAATTACTCAGAACCCCCCCAAATTATCTATTTTTAAGCAGAGGCCCTACCACACACGGAAGAAAAATACAATGTAAAAATATTCTTCCCAAATAGATTGACATATATTTGAAATACTACAATTTTGAATTTTGGCCGTATTCAATATATTTCAATTAGAAGAAAAAAAAAAAAAATTATCTATATATATATAAAAAACACACACAGTATGTTGAAATGCGTTATTATAAAATATATGAAGAATATTTTTAAAAATACACATTTTCAAATATACTGTATGTCTTTAAAAATGCATTTAATCTACATTTTTGGAATGAATTTACAAATACATGTAAGAATATATTTTAAAATGACTTTTTTTTATGAGTTCAAACAAATCTGAAGAATATATTTTAAAATATATAAAAAATACATTTGAACATGCAGTGTGTATGTATGTATATACCGTATTTGCCGGCGTATAAGACGACTTTTTTCAACCCGTGAAAATCTTCTGAAAAGTCGGGGGGGTCGTCTTATACACCGGTATACGGCGAGCCAGTGTCGGGGCGGCACTTTTTCGAGGGGCGGTGTCCTCCATCGGACACTAAGTACAGGGGTGGGCAGAGGGGCTGCTGTACCTTAGCTGGCTCCGGTCCCGGTCCCACGACGATCCGGTCCAGGAAGCGCGGCTGCTCCTTCTTCTTTCAGTTCGGCGGCTCGATGGTCGCGCGGCCGCTCGGCTCCGCCTCCTCACCGGTGATTGGGCGCCAGCGCACACAGGCGTCCAATCACCAGCGAGGAGGCGGAGCCGAACGGCCCCGCGAAAATCAAGCAGCCGAAATGAAAGAAGGAGCAGCCGCTCCTCTCCCCCACTGACAATAACGATGGGGCACTATTCCTCCTCCACACTGACACCAATGATGGGGCACTATTCCCCCCACTGACACCAATGATGGGGCACTATTCCTCCCACTGACACCAATGATGGGGCACTATTCCTCCCACTGACACCAATGATGGGGCACTATTCCTCCCACTGATACCAACGATGGGGCACTATTCCTCCCACTGACACCAATGATGGGGCACTATTCCTCCCACTGATACCAATGATGGGACACTATTCCTCCCACTGATACCAATGATGAGGCACTATTCCTCCCACTGACACCAATGATGGGGCACTATTTCCTCCCACTGATATCAATGATGGGGCACTATTCCTCTCACTGACACCAATGATGGGGCACTATTCCTCCCACTGACACCAATGATGGGGCACTATTCCTCCCACTGATACCAATGATGGGGCACTATTCCTCCCACTGACACCAATGACGGGGCACTATATTTCCTCCCACTGACACCAATGATGGGGCACTATTCCTCCCACTGATACCAATGATGGGACACTATTCCTCCCACTGACACCAATGATGGGACACTATTTCCTCCCACTGATACCAATGATGGGGCACTATTCCTCCCACTGATACCAATGATGGGGCACTATTCCTCCCACTGACACCAATGATGGGACACTATTCCTCCCACTGATACCAATGATGGGGCACTATTCCTCCCACTGATACCAATGATGGGGCACTATTCCTCCCACTGATACCAATGATGGGGCACTATTCCTCCCACTGATACCAATGATGGGACACTATTCCTCCCACTGATACCAATAATGGGGCACTATTCCTCCCCCACTGACACCAATGATGGGGCACTATTCCTCCCCCACTGACACCAATGATGGGGCACTATTCCTCCTCCACTGACACCAATGATGGGGCACTATTCCTCCTCCACTGACACCAACGATGGGGCACTATTCCTCCCACTAATACCAATGATGGGGCACTATTCCTCCCACTGACACCAATGATGGGGCACTATTCCTCCCACTGACACCAATGATGGGGCACTATTCCTCCCACTGACACCAATGATGGGACACTATTCCTCCCACTGACACCAACGATGGGGCACTATTCCTCCTCCACACTGACACCAACGATGGGGCACTATTCCTCCCACTGACACCAATGATGGGACACTATTCCTCCCCAATGACACCAACCATGGGGCACTATTCCTCCTCCCCACTGACACCAACCATGGGGAACTATTCCTCCTCCCCACTGACACCAACCATGGGGCACTATTCCTCCTCCCCACTGATACCAATGATGGGGCACTATTCCTCCCACTGACACCAATGATGGGGCGCTATTCCTGCCACTGATACAAATGATGGGGCGCTATTCCTCCCACTGACACCAATGATGGGGCGCTATTCCTGCCACTGATACCAATGATGGGGCGCTATTCCTCCCACTGACACCAATGATGGGGCGCTATTCCTCCCACTGACACCAATGATGGGGTGCTATTCCTCCCACTGACACCAATGATGGGGCACTATTCCTCCCACTGACACCAATGATGGGGCACTATTCCTCCCACTGACACCAATGATGGGGCACTATTCCTCCCACTGACACCAATGATGGGGCATTATTCCTCCCACTGACACCAATGATGGGGCACTATTCCTCCCACTAATACCAATGATGGGACACTATTCCTCCCACTGACACCAATGATGGGGCACTATTCCTCCACTGACACCAATGATGGGGCACTATTCCTCCCACTGACACCAATGATGGGGCACTATTCCTCCCACTGACACCAATGATGGGGCACTATTCCTCCACTGACACCAATGATGGGGCACTATTCCTCCCACTGACACCAATGATGGGGCACTATTCCTCCCACTGACACCAATGATGAGGCACGATTCTTCCCACTGGTGTTCCCACCCTCGGCTTATACTCGAGTCAATAGTTTTTTTCCCAGTTTTTTGTGGTAAAATTAGGTACCTCGGCTTATATTCGGGTCGGCTTATACTCGAGTATATATACGGTATATAGTGTTTGGTAGATTAATGTAAGCGTTGGTTTCAAAATTTTTTTTTTAAATGTGTGTGTGTGCAAAACATGTCGGTGTGCTGAAGTGGCCGAATTTTGATCCATGTGTGGCTGACTTAAAGTGTTTTGTAGAGGCAGGGCTATGGATAAGGGGGTACCACCTGTCGTCCTGTACGGGGCCCAGGCTGCCCTGGCCCCCCCACCCCCATAGTGCAGCCAATTTCCCTCCTTTCCTTCCCACTGGCAGCTGCAAACACACAACAGGATCCTTCAGGATAGAGAGTGGGGGGAAGGGTTCGGTGAATATGTCACCTTTCCCAGCCCCTTCCTTTTCTGAATGAAACAATGAATGATCGGTACCGATCGCTCTGTGTTCGTTCATAACTGCCCCATAGTAAACTGTTTTCTATGGGGGGCCCTGTCAGGTTGGCTTTATGGGGCACCTAACAGCAGCCCTGTGTAGAGGCTCAAGGATTTTTACCTCCATGCATTCTATGCATGAAGGTAAAAAACCTTCTCAGTGCAGCAGCACCCCCTCCCCCAATACTCACCTAAGCCCCTCTCTACCCAGCAATGTGCACTGGAGTCTCAGCTATCCCGGGACTCCCTCTTCTCATTGGCTAAGACAGCAGCGGAAACCATTAGCTGTCAATCACAGCCAATGAGAAGAGAGGGTGTGGAGTCCATGTGTGAATGGATACACGGAGCGGAGGATGCCCCCATAGCAGGCTGCTTACTGTGGGGGCACCTGACAGGGGGAAGGAGCCAGGAGAGTCGCTGCAGTCTGTGTAATCTGATCTCTCTGGCTACTCAGGTGTTCTTCATGGGATCAGCTTTCAAAAAGCTTCTAATCTTATTAAAGTCCAACTCCTCCCACAATGCAAAGGGTTACATTGAGGGGATGGGCTGCCAGAAAGTGCCCCAGTGAAAGGAAAAAAAACATTGGGGTCCACTAAAAACAAAAAAGTGAGCAACGCAGTGTGAGATTTCAGAGACGTGTCATGGCGTCTCCTATGCCGTAGGATTACCTTGGCGATGGCGGTGGCACAGCTCAGTCCGGCCAGTTCCATCAGCTGGTCCACGCTGAACCTGTACTCATTGAACAGCTCCTCGTCCACCGCCTGCGCCTCCGCCTGGCTGACAAAGGAAAGGGACACCGATGACCCCCCATAATGCACTGCACCCAGATAATATACGCAGACCCCTCACCTGAGCCCCCCATCTACCCCCCCATAATGCACTGCACCCAGATAATATACACAGACCCCTCATCTACCCCCCATAATGCACTGCACCCAGATAATATACACAGACCCCTCACCTGAGCCCCCCATCTACCCCCCCATAATGCACTGCACCCAGATAAAACACACAGCCCCCATCTACCCCCCCCCCCACAATGCACTGCACCCAGATAATATACACAGCCCTCCCATCTACCCCCCCCCACGATGCACTGCACCCAGATAATATACACAGACCTCCCATCTACCCCCCCCCATAATGCACTGCACCCAGATAATACACAGACCCCTCACCTGAGCCCCCCATAATGCACTGCACCCAGATAATACACACAGACCCCTCACCTGAGCCCCCCATCTATCCCCCATAATGCACTGCACCCAAATAATACACACAGACTCCTCACCTGAGCCCCCCCATCTACCCCCCATAATGCACTGCACCCAGATAATACACACAGACCCCTCACCTGAACCCCCCCCCCCCATCTACCCCCCATAATGCACTGCATCCAGAAAATACACACAGACCCCTCATCTACCCCCCATAATGCACTGCACCCAGATAATACACACAGACCCCTCACCTGAACCCCCCCCCCCATCTACCCCCCATAATGCACTGCACCCAGATAATATACACAGACCCCTCACCTGAGCCCCCCATCTACCCCCCCATAATGCACTGCACCCAGATAATATACACAGACCCCTCACCTGAGCCCCCCCATCTACCCTCAAAATGCACTGCACCCAGATAATATACACAGCCCCCCCCACCTGAGCCCCCCATCTACCCCCCATAATGCACTGCACCCAGATAATATACACAGACCCCTCACCTGAACCCCCCCCATCTACCCCCCATAATGCACTGCATCCAGAAAATACACACAGACCCCTCATCTACCCCCCATAATGCACTGCACCCACCCAGATAATACACACAGACCCCTCACCTGAACCCCCCCCCCCCCATCTACCCCCCATAATGCACTGCACCCAGATAATATACACAGACCCCTCACCTGAGCCCCCCCATCTACCCCTCAAAATGCACTGCACCCAGATAATATACACAGCCCCCCCATCTATCCCCCATAATGCACTGCACCCAGATAATATACACAGCCCCCCCATCTATCCCCCATAATGCACTGCACCCAGATAACACACACAGACCCCTCACCTGAGCCCCCATCTACCCCCCATAATGCACTGCACCCAGATAATATACACAGACCCCTCACCTGAGCACTCCCCCTCCCAAACCTGCACCCCTTTTTTTCCCCACAATGCACCCTCACTTGAGACCCCATTACCAGAGTGCTCTGCAGGCAAACATCCCCTCCCCCTCACCTGAGGAACTTTGCCCCCCCTCCATCGCTCCCCCCGCTCGATACTTTCTGCACTGCGCGCTCTCGCCTATCGCCGTGCGCATGCATGTCTGGGCCCTTACTGCCAGCCGAGCACCGCCCACCAGCAAGCCCAAGCTGAGCAGAGCGCGGAACCCGTGCATCTGTCTTCCCGACCACGCCCCTCGCCTCTAAGCGGCCCGTCCGTGTTATGCGTACTGCGCACACGCGCCTTACGGCCTCCCAGCGAGTTTTTACGGGTGCGGATAGACTGTCCTCACGCGTGCGCAGAGTGGGTTTTGGCAGCGGGCCGTAATAATCTGGTTGCCATGGGCAATGGTTGCCGAAGTTTATTTATGTGGATGTAAATATCATAAAAGAAATACATTTTTATATCGAAATTATAATAAGATATATATTATATAGGAATGACTGAACTCATAATATTATATTATAGTCCGTACAGAGACTGCAGACCTGCTACAGGAGACGGTCAGAGACTGCAGACATACTACAGGAGATGGTCAGAGACTGCAGACCTACAACCGGAGATGGTCAGAGACTGCAGACCTACTACAGGAGATGGTCAGAGACTGCAGACATACTACAGGAGATGGTCAGAGACTGCAGACCTACTACAGGAGATGGTCAGAGACTGCAGACATACTACAGGAGATGGTCAGAGACTGCAGACCTACAACCGGAGATGGTCAGAGACTGCAGACCTACTACAGGAGACGGCCAGAGACTGCATACCTACTACAGGAGACGGTCAGAGACTGCAGACCTACTACAGGAGACGGCCAGAGACTGCAGACCTACTACAGGAGACGGTCAGAGACTGCAGAACTACTACAGGAGACGGTCAGAGACTGCAGACATACTACAGGAGACGGTCAGAGACTGCAGACCTACTACAGGAGATGGTCAGAGACTGCAGACATACTACAGGAGATGGTCAGAGACTGCAGACCTACAACCGGAGATGGTCAGAGACTGCAGACCTACTACAGGAGACGGTCAGAGACTGCAGACCTACAACAGGAGACGGTCAGAGACTGCAGACATACTACAGGAGATGGTCAGAGACTGCAGACATACTACAGGAGACGGTCAGAGACTGCAGACCTACTACAGGAGATGGTCAGAGACTGCAGACATACTACAGGAGATGGTCAGAGACTGCAGACCTACAACCGGAGATGGTCAGAGACTGCAGACCTACTACAGGAGATGGTCAGAGACTGCAGACCTACAACAGGAGACGGTCAGAGACTGCAGACATACTACAGGAGACGGTCAGAGACTGCAGACCTACTACAGGAGACGGCCAGAGACTGCAGACCTACTACAGGAGACGGTCAGAGACTGCAGACCTACTACAGGAGACGGTCAGAGACTGCAGACATACTACAGGAGACGGTCAGAGACTGCAGACATACTACAGGAGACGGTCAGAGACTACAGGAGACGGCCAGAGACTGCAGACCTACTACAGGAGACGGTCAGAGACTGCAGACCTACTACAGGAGACGGTCAGAGACTGCAGACCTACTACAGGAGACGGTCAGAGACTGCAGACATACTACAGGAGACGGTCAGAGACTGCAGACCTACTACAGGAGACGGCCAGAGACTGCAGACCTACTACAGGAGACGGCCAGAGACTGCAGACCTACTACAGGAGACGGTCAGAGACTGCAGACCTACTACAGGAGACGGTCAGAGACTGCAGACCTACTACAGGAGATGGTCAGAGACTGCAGACATACTACAGGAGATGGTCAGAGACTGCAGACCTACAACCGGAGATGGTCAGAGACTGCAGACCTACTACAGGAGATGGTCAGAGACTGCAGACCTACAACAGGAGACGGTCAGAGACTGCAGACATACTACAGGAGACGGCCAGAGACTGCATACCTACTACAGGAGACGGTCAGAGACTGCAGACCTACTACAGGAGACGGTCAGAGACTGCAGACCTACTACAGGAGACGGTCAGAGACTGCAGACCTACTACAGGAGACGGTCAGAGACTGCAGACATACTACAGGAGACGGTCAGAGACTGCAGACATACTACAGGAGACGGTCAGAGACTACAGGAGACGGCCAGAGACTGCAGACCTACTACAGGAGACGGTCAGAGGCTGCAGACCTACTACAGGAGATGGTCAGAGACTGCAGACCTACTACAGGAGACGGTCAGAGACTGCAGACATACTACAGGAGACGGTCAGAGACTGCAGACCTACTACAGGAGACGGCCAGAGACTGCAGACCTACTACAGGAGACGGCCAGAGACTGCAGACCTACTACAGGAGACGGTCAGAGACTGCAGACCTACTACAGGAGACGGTCAGAGACTGCAGACATACTACAGGAGACGGTCAGAGACTACAGGAGACGGCCAGAGACTGCAGACCTACTACAGGAGACGGTCAGAGGCTGCAGACCTACTACAGGAGATGGTCAGAGGCTGCAGACCTACTACAGGAGACGGTCAGAGACTGCAGACATACTACAGGAGACGGTCAGAGACTGCAGACCTACTACAGGAGACGGCCAGAGACTGCAGACCTACTACAGGAGACGGCCAGAGACTGCAGACCTACTACAGGAGACGGTCAGAGACTGCAGACCTACTACAGGAGACGGTCAGAGACTGCAGACATACTACAGGAGACGGTCAGAGACTGCAGACCTACTACAGGAGATGGTCAGAGACTGCAGACCTACAACAGGAAACGGCCAGAGACTGCAGACCTACTACAGGAGACGGCCAGAGACTGCAGACATACTACAGGAGATGGTCAGAGACTGCAGACATACTACAGGAGATGGTCAGAGACTGCAGACCTACAACAGGAGATGGTCAGAGACTGCAGACCTACTACAGGAGACGGTCAGAGACTGCAGACATACTACAGGAGATGGTCAGAGACTGCAGACATACTACAGGAGATGGTCAGAGACTGCAGACCTACAACAGGAGATGGTCAGAGACTGCAGACCTACTACAGGAGATGGTCAGAGACTGCAGACCTACAACAGGAGATGGTCAGAGACTGCAGACATACTACAGGAGATGGCCAGAGACTGCATACCTACTACAGGAGACGGTCAGAGACTGCAGACCTACTACAGGAGACGGTCAGAGACTGCAGACCTACTACAGGAGACGGTCAGAGACTGCAGACCTACTACAGGAGACGGTCAGAGACTGCAGACATACTACAGGAGACGGTCAGAGACTGCAGACATACTACAGGAGACGGTCAGAGACTGCAGACCTACTACAGGAGACGGCCAGAGACTGCAGACCTACTACAGGAGACGGTCAGAGACTGCAGACCTACTACAGGAGACGGTCAGAGACTGCAGACCTACTACAGGAGACGGTCAGAGACTGCAGACATACTACAGGAGACGGTCAGAGACTGCAGACCTACTACAGGAGACGGCCAGAGACTGCAGACCTACTACAGGAGACGGCCAGAGACTGCAGACCTACTACAGGAGACGGCCAGAGACTGCAGACCTACTACAGGAGACGGTCAGAGACTGCAGACATACTACAGGAGACGGTCAGAGACTGCAGACCTACTACAGGAGATGGTCAGAGACTGCAGACCTACAACAGGAAACGGCCAGAGACTGCAGACCTACTACAGGAGACGGCCAGAGACTGCAGACCTCCTACAGGAGACGGCCAGAGACTGCAGACCTACTACAGGAGACGGCCAGAGACTGCAGACCTACTACAGGAGACGGTCAGAGACTGCAGACCTACTACAGGAGACGGTCAGAGACTGCAGACCTACTACAGGAGACGGTCAGAGACTCCAGACCTACTACAGGAGATGGTCAGAGACTGCAGACCTACTACAGGAGATGGTCAGAGACTGCAGAAAACTACAGGAGATGGTCACAGACTGCAGACATACTACAAGAGATGGTCAGAGACTGCAGACATACGACAGGAGATGGTCAGAGACTGCAGATATACGACAGGAGATGATCAGACACTGCAGATATACTACAAGAGATGGTCAGAGACTGCAGTCATTATTATTATTATTATACAGGATTTATATAGTGCCAACAGTTTGCTCAGTGCTTTACAATCATGCTACAGGAGATGGTCAGAGACTGCAGATATACTACAGATGATGGTCAGAGACTGCAGACCTACTACAGGAGATGGTCAGAGACTGCAGACCTACTACAGGAGACAGTCAGAGACTGCAGACATACTACTGGAGACTGTCAGAGATTGCAGACCTACTACAGGAGATGATCAGAGACTGCAGACATAATACAGGACACGGTCAGAGACTGCAGACCTACTAAAGGAGATGATCAGAGACTGCAGACATAATACAGGACACGGTCAGAGACTGCAGACCTACTAAAGGAGATGGTCAGAGACTGCAGACATAGTTCAGGAGATGGTCAGAGACTGCAGAAAACTACAGGAGACAGTCAGAGACTGCAGACCTACTACTGGAGACTGTCAGAGACTGCAGACCTACTACAGGAGATGGTCAGAGACTGCATGCTGTTGCATGAAGGTAGCAGAAAAGTGAAACCCAATTGGTTTAGTTCTGACAAATCAGCTCCTCTTTATAGGTGCACTTGAATCCTCCAGAGACAAAACTTTTCTTGTCTCCCGACTCCCAGTGGTGGATTCCATCTGGCAATTTTCCTCCCATCTCTAAATATGGAGAACATTGCGCCGTCCCCCTGATTGGTATAAAAACCCGCAATCAACAATAATAGCGCATAGCAAGGCCACTCCAGAGGAAATTGCCTCTCCTCTAAGTATCCGTCTTTCATTTCTGGGCCCACATTAGTACCATGGATGGTTTGCACTTGTTTTACAAATGATTATGTTCTGCGGCTCGGAAAATCACCCTCATTTTCTAACTAGGCCAATTAGCCCGGACCACCATCCCTCCTCCAGGAGAACAGAACGGCCAAGAGGCTTTCCACATGATAGCCTGGGACTGGAGAGGGATGAGGCACCCAGATAATTATGTATATACATTGTTCTGGTACGGGGGGGGCAGAGAGGTATTTGTTGATCCTTCCTTATGATCCCCCTCCCCGCCGTTGCCCACAGGTCTTTTGTTCCCACAATGGCACAGATTCATTTTTTTCCACCCACTGACCAGCAATGCAAGGAGCCCTATGATACATACTCCTGGAAAGAAAGAAAGAAAGAAAGAAAAAAAAGAAAAGAGAGAAAGGAAGAGATGTAAAGAAAGAAAGAAGGAAGGAGAGAAAGAAAGAAAGAAAGAAAGAAAGAAAGAAAGAAAGAAAGAAAAAGAAGGAAGGAGAGAAAGAAAGAAAAAAAGAAAGAAAGAGAGAAAGAAAGAAAGAAAGAAAGAAGGAAGGAGAGAGAGAAAGAAAGAAAGAAAGAAAGAAAGAGATGGAAAGAAAGAAAGAAAGAAAGGAGAGAAAGGAAGAGATGGAAAGAGAGAAAGAAGGAAGGAGAGAAAAAAAAGAAAGAAAGAAAGAGAAAGAAAGAAAGAAGGAAGGAGAGAAATAAAGAAAGGAGAGAAAGGAATAGATGTAAAGAAAGAAAGAAGGAAGGAGAGAAAGAAAGAAAAAAAAGAAAGAAGGAAGGAGAGAAAGAAAAAAAGAAAGAAAAAGAAAGAAGGAAGGAGAGAAAGAAAAAAGAAAGAAAAAGAAAGAAGGAAGGAGAGAAAGAAAGAGAAAAAGAAAGAAAGGAAGAGATGTAAAGAAAGAAAGAAGGAAGGAGAGAAAGAAAGAAAGAGAGAGAGAGAGAAAGAAAAGAAAAAAGAAAGAAAGAAAGGAGAGAGAGAAAGAGATAGAAAGAAAGGAGAGAGAGGAAGATATGTAAAGAAAGAAAGAAGGAAGGAGGGAAAGAAAGAATGAAAGAGAAAGAAAGAAAGGAGAGAAACAGGTGACAGAGAGCGAAAGAAAGAGACATAGAGAAAGAAAGAAGGAAGGAGGGAAAAAGGAATGATGGAAAGAAAGAGAGAAAGAAGGAAGGAGGGAAAGAAATGAGGTAAAGAGCATACAGAAGCTGAGGGCTGCAGGAGATGGATAGGAGGGGCGGCCGGGAGGAACATAGAGGAACCGAGAAATGCACGGTCCCCTATGTGCCGCCCGGCCGCCCCTCCTATCCAAGCAGCCCTGACCTACTGGGCAAAATCCCAGTGTGCCCTATGGTCAGTCCGGGCCTATGTATATTACATACTGTATATCTGACCCCTGCACTCTATACACTATGTTGTGTATTACATAGACCTGACCCCTGCACTCTATACACTATGTTGTGTATTACATAGACCTGACCCCTGCACTCTATACACTATGTTGTATATTACATAGACCTGACCCCTGCACTCTATACACTATGGTGTATATTACATAGACCTGACCCCTGCACTCTATACACTATGTTGTGTTTTACATAGACCTGACCCCTGCACTCTATGAACTATGGTGTATATTACATAGTTTTGAACCCTGCACTCTATACACTATGTTGTATATTATATAGACCTGACCCCTGCACTCTATACACTATGGTGTATATTACATAGACCTGACCCCTGCACTCTATACACTATGTTGTATATTACATAGACCTGACCCCTGCACTCTATACACTATGTTGTATATTATATAGACCTGACCCCTGCACTCTATACACTATGGTGTATATTACATAGACCTGACCCCTGCACTCTATACACTAAGTTGTATATTACATAGACCTGACCCCTGCACTCTATACACTATGGTGTATATTACATAGACCTGACCCCTGCACTCTATGCACTATGGTGTATATTACATAGACCTGACCCCTGCACTCTATACACTATGTTGTATATTACATAGTTTTGAACCCTGCACTCTATGCACTATGTTGTATATTACATAGACCTGACCCCTGCACTCTATACACTACGTTGTATATTACATAGACCTGACCCCTGCACTCTATACACTATGTTGTATATTACATAGTTTTGAACCCTGCACTCTATGCACTATGTTGTATATTACATAGACCTGACCCCTGCACTCTATACACTATGTTGTGTATTACATAGACCTGACCCCTGCACTCTATGCACTATGTTGTATATTACATAGTTTTGAACCCTGCACTCTATGCACTATGTTGTATATTACATAGACCTGACCCCTGCACTCTATGCACTATGTTGTATATTACATAGACCTGACCCCTGCACTCTATACACTATGTTGCGTATTACAAGGATCTGACAATGCATTATAGGCTGCAGCAGGGGCTGATCTGTGTCATACCTTTGTGATTTTTGAGCCATGCAGGCACCAGGATTTATATGATTGATGAGGTATCGGGGGGGGCAGGCCCTTTATCATTTTCTATATTAATAAAAACCAGCGCTATACAAACTGACGCGACGTCACATAAATACTTGTTGCCTTTATTCTTTACCTTAAAAACCATATATACAAATAACATATTTACAATGTCTGCTATTGCCGACACATCAGCCTAGTGGTCGTTTGAAGGTGCAACTCGCAAATTAAACTGCCATCATCCCATGCAGACCAGCAGAAATTTTAGATCAGGCTTGCAGTAGGAGGGTCTGTATTGGATGTAGAAATGAGACAAAAGAATAAAAAGGATGGTGTGCACTGGCTATGGGGGGACCCTTGTTCTCTGCAAGGAAGCTGTGGTCTCTCTGCAGAGGTCTGACATGCCCTCTTGCTGACTTCTCCAATCATCAGGAGCTTGAGCATGAGCTTTGCCGGTGACAAATCTAGAAGTCTGACTCAGCAGGGGAGGGCATAAGGGACCTCTGCGGAGAGACCACTGCTTCCCCAAACAGAGGGCGTGGGGTCAAGCATCTTAGTGACAGGATGACCCCCAACTCTCAGTAAAAAGGGTAAAACTATAGAAGGGTGCAAATGCAGAGAAGGACCCTTGTTCTAATTATGGAAGCAGTGGTCTCTCTGCAGAGATCTTGACACGTCCCCTTTCTGAGTCAGAGTAAGAGTTCTCCAATCAACAGGGATCTCTGCTGATGGTAAAGCTTTAGGTCTGAAACAGCAGTGGAGGGCGTATGGGACCTCTGCGGAGAGACCACTGCTTCCCCAAACAGAGGGCGTGGGGTCAAGCATCTTAGTGACAGGATGACCCCCACCTCTCAATAAAAAGGGTGACACCAAGTGAAACTATAGAAGGACCCTTGTTCTATGTATGGAAGCAGTGGTCTCTCTGCAGAGATCTGACACGCCCCCTTGCTGAGTCAGAGTTAGAGTTCTCCAATCAACAGGAATCTCTGCTGATGGCAAAGCTTTAGGTCTGAAACAGCAGGGGAGGGTGTATGGGACTTCTGCGGAGAGACCACTACTTTCCCACAGCAAAGGTGTAGGGTCAAGTAGCTAAGTGACAGTCAAGGTGACCCCCGACCCTAAAGCAGAAAAGTCGAACGAAGTGAAAATAAAGAATGGAGAAAATTTAAAGCTTTGATAAGTAGAATTATTTACAGCTGAATATTGTGTTTCTGGCATCAGATCTTCAACTGAACTGTGATTGGACGAGCTAATATGTCCACCTATCAGAATCCTGTCCGCAGTAAATAAAATAACTGCAAGAGAGAAGAGTGGGCGGTGCCCCGGGTGACGGGTCACCAGATGACCAAGATGGGTTAATCCATGAGGTCGTCCTCCATATAAAACTGCAGCCGATGCTTTTGGCGGGATGGTGGCGCTAATGTCCATTGTGTTTCATGGTGTCCATAATATCACATGATGTGACACATCCGGGACTGAAATCTCAATCTTCTGGAGGGTTCTTGACCGTCCACCCTGGGTATGTGAAGGCAGCCGGGGGGCTCACTCACCCTCCTAAAAAAAGATAACAGTTCAGACGCCATTAACAAATATCTCAGTGGAGCTCCATCCAAAGCTAATGTTTTGGTTTTTGCACGGTTATAAGTTCTGTCGGGTTTTCATCGTTCAACTAGGTGGCCACACTAATGGTTAAAGAATCCAAAATGGTATTTGTTAGACATCAGTAGACCAGGAAAGTCAACGTGTTTCAGGATTGAGACCCCCTTCTTCAGGGCTTAAGTATTATATAACCTCAAATATGGTTGGACTCAACTGTTGGTGGCAGCATCTTACTATATAAACACAACCATTGTTTGTATCGCTCAACTATGTAAGGATGCCACACAAATGGTCAAAGAATCCAAAATGGTATTTGTTAGATATTAGTAGACTGGGAAAGTCAACGTTTTTTTTTTTTTCGGGGTTGAGACCGCCTTCATCAGGGCTTAAGTATTATGTAACACCAAATATGGTTGAAGTCAACTGTTGGTGGAAGCACTGGCAGGATCTTACTATATAAACACAACCATTGTTTTTATCGCTCAACTACGTAAAGATGCCACGCAAATGGTCAAAGAATCCAAAATGGTATTTGTTAGATATTAGTAGACTAGGAAAGTCAACATGTTTCAGGTTTGAGACCCCCTTCATCAGGGCTTAAGTATTATGAAACCTCAAATATGGTTGGACTCAACTGTTGGTGGCAGCACTGGCAGGATCTTACTATATAAACACAACCATTGTTTGTATCGCTCAACTATGTAAGGATGCCACACAAACGGGCAAAGAATCCAAAATGGTGGTATTTGTTAGATATCAGTAGACTGGGAAAGTCAACATTTTTCGGGGTTGAGACCCCCCCTTCTTTAGGGCTTAAGTATTATGTAACACCAAACATGGTTGGACTCAACTGTTGGTGGAAGCACTGGCAGGATCTTACTATACAAACACAACCATGGTTTTTATCGCTCAACTATGTAAAGATGCCACACAAATGGTCAAAGAATCCAAAATGGTATTTGTTGGATATTACTAGACTAGCAAAGTCAACATGTTTCGGGTTTGAGACCCCCTTCATCAGGGCTTAAGTATTATGAAACCTCAAATATGGTTGGACTCAACTGTTGGTGGCAGCACTGGCAGGATCTTACTATATAAACACAACCATTGTTTGTATTGCTCAACTACATAAGGATGCCACACAAATGGCCATGAATCCTAAATGGGTATTTGTTAGATATCAGTAGACTAGGAATGCAACGTGTTTTGGGTTTGAGACCCCCTTCATCAGGGCTTAAGTATTATGTAACCCCAAACATGGTTGGACTCAACTGCTGGTAGCAGCACTGGCTGGATCTTACTATATAAGCACAACCATTGTTTGCACAGATCCAGCGCTCATCTTAGAATATATTTACAACCATTGTTTGTATCGCTCAACTATGTAAGGATGCCCCACAAATGGTCAAAGAATCCAAAATGGTATTTGTCAGATATCAGTAGAATAGGAAAGCAATGCATTTCAGAGGTAGAGGCCCCCTTCTTCAGGGCTTAAGTATTATGTCACCTCAAATATGGTTGGACTCAACTGTTGGTGGCAGCATCTTACTATATAAACACAACCATGGTTTTTATTGCTCAACTATGTAAAGATGCCCCACAAATGCCAAAAGAATCCAAAATGGTATTTGTTAGATATTAGTAGACTTGGAAAGTCAATGTGTTTCGGATTTGAGACCCGCCTTCATTGGGGCTTAAGTATTATGTAACCCCAAACATGGTTGGACTCAACTGTTGGTGGCAGCACTGGCAGGTTCTTACTATATAAACACAACCACTGTTTGTATCGCTCAACTATGTAAAGATGCCCCACAAATATCCAAACAATCCAAAATGGTATTTGTTAGATATCAGTAGATTGGGATAGTCAACGTTTTTTTGGGGTTGAGACCCCCTTCATCAGGGCTTAAGTATTATGTAACACCAAACCATGGTTGGACTCAACTGTTGGTGGTAGCACTGGCAGGTTCTTACTATATAAACACAACCATTGTTTGTATCGCTCAACTACGTAAAGATGCCGCACAATGGCCAAAGGATCCAAAATGGTATTTGTTAGATATCAGTAGATTGGGATAGTTAACGTTTTTCGGGGTTGAGACCCCCCTTCATCAGGGCTTAAGTATTATGTAACACCAAGCATGGTTGGACTCAACTGTTGGTGGCAGCACTGGCAGGATCTTACTATATAAACACAACCATTGTTTTTATTGCTCAACTATGTAAAGATGCCACACAAATGGCCAAAGAATCCAAAATGGTGGTATTTGTTAGATATCAGTAGACTGGGAAAGTCAACATTTTTCGGGGTTGAGACCCCCTCCTTCCTCAGGGTTTAAGTATTATAAAACCCCAAACATGGTTGGACTCAACTGTTGGTGGCAGCACTGGCAGGTTCTTACTATATAAACACAACCATTGTTACAATCCAATCAAGTCCAGCTATATTTGAGCTACATAATACTTAAGATAAAGGGGTCTAAACCCCCCAAATGCGTTTACTTTCTTATTCTACTGATATCTAATAAATACCATTTTGAATTCTTTGACCATTGGTGTGGTGCCCTTACTACTTCTTACTTAGTCTGACTTTTTCTCAGGACCCCCCCCCCTCCTCTTGGGGGTGCGCTGGTATATTTGAGCAGAATTTGATTCATGAGATGGTCCTCCTCAACATTAGATATTATCAATAGTAGATCTGGTACCTCGGTTTTTATTGCTGTCTTTGTCCCCACTTGGAAGATTTCACTCAACCTTCTGTTCTGAAAACACAACAGGAAGTCATCTTTAAAAAAAGGAAATTTTCTCACTGTCCCTGTTCTGTAAAATATTGAATTTCCCATATTTCTGTCCCAGACCCCGGGGCAACTAGAGTAGTTGAATCTCCCCAGTTAGGTCATAGACAGCAATAAAAACCCGACAGGGCGTCTACCTTTTCAAGGGCCACTAAAAAAGAGCCATTTGACCTGAATGGGCAGAGAGACTGGTTATCTTTATTCAGTATTTATTACTGAGGTGTGATATGTGTTCTCATACCTGTTTGTTTCTAAAGTCTTCAGCTTGAGAGTTTCATAATCATGTATACCTAAAAAAAAGGTGGAATACTTTAAAGAATTGCCTCCTATACTTTGGTGGTCAGCAGCAAGAATGTTCCTTACAATGGTGGTCAGTTGGAAGAATGTTCCTTACATTGGTGGCCAGTGGGAAGAATGCTCCTTACATTGGTGATGAGTTGGAAGAATGCTCCTTACATTGGTGGTCAGTGGGAAGAATGTCCCTTACATTGGTGGTCAGTGGGAAGAATGTCTCTTACATTGGTGGTCAGTGGGAAGAATGCTCCTTACATTGCTGATCAGTGGAAAGAATGTTCCTTACATTGCTGATCAGTGGAAAGAATGTTCCTTACATTGCTGATCAGTGGAAAGAATGTTCCTTACATCGGTGGTCAATGGGAAGAATGTCTCCTTACATTGGGGGTTAGTGGGAGGAATGCTCCTTACATTGGTAGTCAGTGTGAAGAGTGTCCCTTACATTGGTGGTCAGTTGGAAGAATTCTCCTTACATTGGTGATCAGTGGGAAGAATGTCCCTTACATTAGTGGCTAGTGAGAGGACTGACCCTTAATTTGGTAGTCAACATGAAGAATGTCCCTTACATTGGTGATCATTGAGAAGAACATTCCTTACATTGATGGTCAGAGGGAAGAATGTACTGTATATTATATTTATATTATTCATCAGTGGGAAGAATGTCACTTGGATAGGTGGTCAGTGGGAAGAATAACCCTTACATTGGTGGTCAGTAGGAAAAATGCCTCTTACATTGGTGGTCAATGCAAAGAATGCTCCTTACATTGGTAGTCAATGTGAAGAGTGTTCCTTACATTGGTGGTCAATGGGAAGAATGTCCCTTACATTGGTGGTCAGTGTGAATAGCGTTCCTTACAATGGTGGTCAATGGGAAGAATGACCCTTACATTGGTGGTCAGTGTGAAGAGTGATCCTTACATTGCTAGTCAATGGGAAAAATGCCCCTTACATTGGTGGCCAGTGGGAAGACTGCTCCTTACATTGGTGGTCCATGAGAAGAATGCTCCTTACATTGGTGGCCAGTGTGAATAGTGTTCCTTACATTGGTGGTCAATGGGAAGAATGACCCTTACATTGGTGGTCAGGGTAAAGAGTGGTCCTTACATTGCTGGTCAATGGGAAAAATTCCCCTTAGATTGGTGGCCAGTGGGAAGAATGCTCCTTACATTGGTGGTCAATGGGAAGAATGCCCCTTGCATTGGTGGCCAGTGGGAAGAATGCTCCTTACATTACATCATTGGTGTCAATGGTTACTCATTGGGCAGACTTTGTTCCCAGCATCAGATTAAATGTAACATTTCTGTGTTTGACTGAAGACCACCTTTACCGACCACAGACAGCTGACATGCCTGGAAACCTTTGCGGAACAATATAGAGAGATTTTCCGCTCGGTGTACTATGGGAAAAGTTGTCAGGGGGAAACTTGGACCTGTTTCAAAGGACAACATTGCCAGCAGCAACCAGACCACGTTAGATGATTGCAAATGTTATCGGCTCCACTTGGTTTGTGGATGTTCTTCTAGCCAATGAGTAAGGAGAGATGTCTGTCCACGGATCGCACTACAGTTCACTTACTTTTGGTGGTGCTCTTCATCGTGCAGTTCTGGTAGACAGGGTCTGGCTGCAGGTAGGTGTTATTCAGATTGCTGAAAAGGAGACAGGGACGATCGATAAACCGCCATAAACTGATCCCACCATGACACCGAGTCCACCCAAAACTGTTGTCTCACTTGCAGTGGCGGACTGACAACTCATGGGGCCCCCGGGCAATAGGGGATCATGGGGCCCCTGTGTCCTTGCCCAAACTCAAAAAAGCCTATGATAAAGGTACCAGGGGCATCTCATGGGGCCCCCTACTGACCCTGGGCCCTCGGGCAGTGCCCGAGTTTCCAAATGGTCAGTCCGCCCCCGCTCACTTGGTAGGTGCGTGGTCGGAGAGCGGTGGGGATGGAAGGTGGTAGGCTGTCAACCACACTTACCAATACCACCACCTCAACAGATTGAACAAAGAGCTACATGCACTATGCCTCCAGAGCCAACAAATTACATGGGGATACTTCATCAGCGTGAAAAGTGAGACTCCCAGAGGGCTCCGTCCTGTCCGGCAACATCTGCACTCACGAATGAAGGTCACATGACAAGGATATATATATATAGAAAGTGGCCCTGTTGTCCATGATAGAAGGGTGAGTGTGTAGGTGGAGGAATGGAGGTAATGGAAGCTTTGGGGGCATTATCAGGACCAAAGACAATTCTGGGAGGTTCATGCAAGTACAGGGGTCAGGAGTGTGTAATGTACAGAGTACAGGGGTCAGGAGTGTGTAATGTACAGAGTATAGGGGTCAGGTGTGTGTAATGTACAGAGTACAGGGGTCAGGAGTGTGTAATGTACAGAGTACAGGGGTCAGGAGTGTGTAATGTACAGCGTACAGGGGTCAGAAGCATGTAATGTACAGAGTGCAGGGGTCAGGAGTGTGTAATGTACAGAGTACAGAGGTCAGGAGTGTGCAATGTATAGAGTGCAGGGGTCAGGAGTGTGTAGTGTACAGAGTGCAGGGGTCAGGAGTGGGTAATGTAAAGAGTACAGGGGTCAGGAGTGGGTAATGTACAGAGTACAGGGGTAAGGAGTGTGTAATGTACAGAGTGCAGGGGTCAGGTGTGTGTAATGTACAGCGTACAGGGGTCAGGTGTGTGTAATGTACAGCGTACAGGGGTCAGGTGTGTGTAATGTACAGAGTACAGGGGTCTGGAGTGTGTAATGTACAGAGTATAGGGGTCAGGTGTGTGTAATGTACAGAGTACAGGGGTCAGGAGTGTGTAATGTACAGAGTTACAGGGGTCAGGAGTATGTAATGTACAGAGTACAGGGGTCAGGAGTATGTGATGTACAGAGCACAGGGGTCAGGAGTGTGTAATGTACAGAGTACAGGGGTCAGGAGTATGTAATGTACCGAGTACAGGGGTCAGGAGTATGTGATGTACAGAGCACAGGGGTCAGGAGTGTGTAATGTACAGAGTACAGGGGTCAGGTGTGTGTAATGTACAGAGTGCAGGGGTCAGGAGTGTGTAATGTACAGAGTGCAGGGGTCAGGAGTGTGTAATGTACAGCGTACAGGGGTCAGGTGTGTGTAATGTACAGAGTACAGGGGTCTGGAGTGTGTAATGTACAGAGTATAGCGGTCAGGTGTGTGTAATGTACAGAGTACAGGGGTCAGGAGTGTGTAATGTACAGAGTACAGGGTTCAGGAGTGTGTAATGTACAGAGTACAGGGGTCAGGAGTGGGTAATGTACAGAGTACAGGGGTCAGGAGTGTGTAATGTACAGAGTACAGGGGTCAGGAGTGTGTAACAGAGTACAGGGCTCAGGAGTGTGTAATGTACAGAGTACAGGGGTCAGGAGTGTGTAACAGAGTACAGGGGTCAGGAGTGTGTAATGTACAGAGTACAGGGGTCAGGAGTGTGTAATGTACAGAGTACAGGGGTCAGGAGTGTGTAACAGAGTACAGGGGTCAGGAGTGTGTAATGTACAGAGTACAGGGGTCAGGAGTGTGTAATGTACAGAGTACAGGGGTCAGGAGTGTGTAATGTACAGAGTACAGGGGTCAGGTGTGTGTAATGTACAGCGTACAGGGGTCAGGTGTGTGTAATGTACAGAGTACAGGGGTCTGGAGTGTGTAATGTACAGAGTATAGGGGTCAGGTGTGTGTAATGTACAGAGTACAGGGGTCAGGAGTGGGTAATGTACAGAGTACAGGGGTCAGGAGTGTGTAATGTACAGCGTACAGGGGTCAGAGAGTATGTAATGTACAGAGTACAGGGGTCAGGAGTGTGTAATGTACAGAGTACAGGGGTCAGGTGTGTGTAATGTACAGAGTGCAGGGGTCAGGAGTGTGTAATGTACAGAGTGCAGGGGTCAGGAGTGGGTAATGTAAAGAGTACAGGGGTCAGGAGTGTGTAATGTACAGAGTACAGGGGTCAGGTGTATGTAATGTACCGAGTACAGGGGTCAGGAGTATGTGATGTACAGAGCACAGGGGGGTCAGGAGTGGATAATGTACAGAGTACAGGGGTCAGGAGTGTGTAATGTACAGAGTGCAGGGGGTCAGGTGTGTGTAATGTACAGCGTACAGGGGTCAGGTGTGTGTAATGTACAGCGTACAGGGTCAGGGTGTGTGTAATGTACAGAGTACAGGGGTCTGGAGTGTGTAATGTACAGAGTATAGGGGTCAGGTGTGTGTAATGTACAGAGTACAGGGGTCAGGAGTGTGTAATGTACAGAGTACAGAGGTCAGGAGTATGTAATGTACCGAGTACAGGGGTCAGGAGTATGTGATGTACAGAGCACAGGGGTCAGGAGTATGTGATGTACAGAGCACAGGGGTCAGGAGTGTGTAATATACAGAGTACAGGGGTCAGGAGTATGTAATGTACCGAGTACAGGGGTCAGGAGTATGTGATGTACAGAGCACAGGGGTCAGGAGTGTGTAATGTACAGAGTACAGGGGTCAGGTGTGTGTAATGTACAGAATACAGGGGTCAGGAGTGTGTAATGTACAGAGTGCAGGGGTCAGGTGTGTGTAATGTACAGCGTACAGGGTCAGGTGTGTGTAATGTACAGAGTACAGGGGTCTGGAGTGTGTAATGTACAGAGTATAGCGGTCAGGTGTGTGTAATGTACAGAGTACAGGGGTCAGGAGTGTGTAATGTACAGAGTACAGGGGTCAGGAGTGTGTAATGTACAGAGTACAGGGTCAGGAGTGGGTAATGTACAGAGTACAGGGGTCAGGAGTGGGTAATGTACAGAGTACAGGGGTCAGGAGTGTGTAACAGAGTACAGGGGTCAGGAGTGTGTAATGTACAGAGTACAGGGGTCAGGAGTGTGTAACAGAGTACAGGGGTCAGGAGTGTGTAATGTACAGAGTACAGGGGTCAGGAGTGTGTAATGTACAGAGTACAGGGGTCAGGAGTGTGTAACAGAGTACAGGGGTCAGGAGTGTGTAATGTACAGAGTACAGGGGTCAGGAGTGTGTAATGTACAGAGTACAGGGGTCAGGAGTGTGTAACAGAGTACAGGGGTCAGGAGTGTGTAATGTACAGAGTACAGGGGTCTGGAGTGTGTAATGTACAGAGTACAGGGGTCAGGTGTGTGTAATGTACAGCGTACAGGGGTCAGGTGTGTGTAATGTACAGAGTACAGGGGTCTGGAGTGTGTAATGTACAGAGTATAGGGGTCAGGTGTGTGTAATGTACAGAGTACAGGGGTCAGGAGTGGGTAATGTACAGAGTACAGGGGTCAGGTGTGTGTAATGTACAGAGTACAGGGGTCAGAAGTGGGTAATGTACAGAGTACAGGGGTCAGGAGTGTGTAATGTACAGACTACAGGGGTCAGGTGTGGGTAATGTACAGAGTGCAGGGGTCAGGTGTGTGTAATGTACAGCGTACAGGGGTCAGGTGTGTGTAATGTACAGAGTACAGGGGTCAGGAGTGGGTAATGTACAGAGTACAGGGGTCAGGAGTGTGTAATGTACAGCGTACAGGGGTCAGGAGTATGTAATGTACAGAGTACAGGGGTCAGGAGTGTGTAATGTACAGAGTACAGGGGTCAGGTGTGTGTAATGTACAGAGTGCAGGGGTCAGGAGTGTGTAATGTACAGAGTGCAGGGGTCAGGAGTGGGTAATGTAAAGAGTACAGGGGTCAGGAGTGTGTAATGTACAGAGTACAGGGGTCAGGTGTATGTAATGTACCGAGTACAGGGGTCAGGAGTATGTGATGTACAGAGCACAGGGGTCAGGAGTGGATAATGTACAGAGTACAGGGGTCTGGAGTGTGTAATGTACAGAGTATAGGGGTCAGGTGTGTGTAATGTACAGAGTACAGGGGTCAGGAGTGTGTAATGTACAGAGTACAGAGGTCAGGAGTATGTAATGTACCGAGTACAGGGGTCAGGAGTATGTGATGTACAGAGCACAGGGGTCAGGAGTGTGTAAATATACAGAGTACAGGGGTCAGGAGTATGTAATGTACCGAGTACAGGGGTCAGGAGTATGTGATGTACAGAGCACAGGGGTCAGGAGTGTGTAATGTACAGAATACAGGGGTCAGGAGTGTGTAATGTACAGAATACAGGGGTCTGGAGTGTGTAATGTACAGAGTACAGGGGTCTGGAGTGTGTAATGTACAGAGTACAGGGGTCAGGTGTGTGTAATGTACAGAGTACAGGGGTCAGGAGTGTGTAATGTACAGAGTACAGGGGTCTGGAGTGTGTAATGTACAGAGTACAGGGGTCAGGTGTGTGTAATGTACAGCGTACAGGGGTCAGGAGTGTGTAATGTACAGAGTACAGGGGTCTGGAGTGTGTAATGTACAGAGTACAGGGGTCAGGTGTGTGTAATGTACAGCGTACAGGGGTCAGGTGTGTGTAATGTACAGAGTACAGGGGTCTGGAGTGTGTAATGTACAGAGTACAGGGGTCAGTGTGTGTGTGTAATGTACAGAGTACAGGGGTCAGGAGTGTGTAATGTACAGAGTACAGGGGTCAGGAGTGGGTAATGTACAGAGTACAGGGGTCAGGTGTGTGTAATGTACAGAGTACAGGGGTCAGGAGTGGGTAATGTACAGAGTGCAGGGGTCAGGAGTGTGTAATGTACAGAGTACAGGGGTCAGGAGTGGGTAATGTACAGAGTACAGGGGTCAGGTGTGTGTAATGTACAGAGTACAGGGGTCAGGAGTGGGTAATGTACAGAGTACAGGGGTCAGGAGTGTGTAATGTACAGAGTACAGGGGTCAGGAGTGGGTAATGTACAGAGTACAGGGGTCAGGAGTGGGTAATGTACAGAGTACAGGGGTCAGGTGTGGGTAATGTACAGAGTGCAGGGGTCAGGAGTGAGTAGTATGCAGAATATAGGTTTCAGGAGTGAGTAACACACAGAGTACAGGGGTCAGGAGTGGGTAGCACTCAGAATAAAGGGGTCAGGAGTGGGTAACACACAGAGTGCAGGGGTAAGAAGTAAGCTCCCCCCCTCAGTACAGCCCCCCCCTGCATAAACCACACTTACCAGACCAGGATAATTGAGTAAAATAGAGATCCTCCTTCAGCTGGGTCATGTGAATGTAGCCGGGGAGGAGCAGCCTCCTTCGCTCTGAGCTGACAGGCTGCCTGGCATGGCTGTCAGCACTGGCCGTGGATGCTCTGTGGGGGTTTGGACCCCCTATCCCCCCCCTTATCTATGCCCCTGGACATTATTGATTATATGCAGTTTATATTAAGTCCCTTTTGGGATATTTCCCTGCAGATGGTTATATATATGAATTTTTATCTACCTGGACATCTATGATCAGATGAACATTGTTTTTCACTTTCGAGCTCCGCTGCCCATCGAAATCGTCACACAAAAGCGCTACGGATTGAATATCATCTGCATAATTAGGAAGCGGCGGGCCGACTACATCTGGCCCAATTACCTGTTGGCATGCGGATAATTCCTGGCGCAGGCCGCGTCCGACTGTTCGCAGTCTTCGGAAAACTCATTAGCGACCACTGTGAGGGTGTCGGGCTCCTCCTCCTCTCCTCCAATGTCTGCAAGACAAAACAAAAGACCCTCAACAGCTGTTCCCATTGTACACCGCACCCGTCCGGGAGGGGGGGGGGGGGTGTGGAATCATGTGACAAGCAAAATAAAAAAATCACAATGCAGGTGCGGCGTGAATTCATGCGACGGCTCGCTGCGAAAGATAACAATTACGCAATTTTTTTTTTCCTCCAAATTGCTGCTTGAAAGATGTCCCAGCTACACATACACTTTAAGGGGCGGCGGGGGAGGGGCGGGTGTCTGAAGGAAAATGAGATGGGCGCAAAGTTGTTCGCACCTGTCCCTGCGTTTCTGCGTCCTGCGGTGCACGCCCGCCCGCTAGAACAATACGTCTTAAAGGGATACTCCAATAGGTCTTCAGGGGATACTCCAATAGGTCTTAAAGTGATACTTTAATAGGTCTTAAAGGGATGCTCCAATAGGTCTTAAAGGAATACTCCAATAGGTCTTAAAGGAATACTCCAATAGGTCTTCAGGGGATACTCCAATAGGTCTTAAAGTGATACTTTAATAGGTCTTAAAGGGATGCTCCAATAGGTCTTAAAGGAATACTCCAATAGGTCTTAAAGGAATACTCCAATAGGTCTTCAGGGGATACTCCAATAGGTCTTAAAGTGATACTTTAATAGGTCTTAAAGGGATACTCCAATAGGTCTTCAAGGGATACTCCAATAGGTCTTACAGGGATACTCCAATAGGTCTTACAGGGATACTCCAATAGGTCTTAAAGGGATGCTCCAATAGGTCTTAAAGGAATACTCCAATAGGTCTTCAAGGGATACTCCAATAGGTCTTAAAGGGATACTTCAATAGGTCTTAAAGGGATACTCCAATAGGTCTTCAAGGGATACTCCAATAGGTCTTAAAGGGATAATTCAATAGGTCTTAAAGGGATACTCCAATAGGTCTTACAGGGATAGGGATACTCCAATAGGTCTTCAAGGGATACTCCAATATGTCTTAAAGGGATACTACAATAAGTCTTAAAGGGATACTCCGATTTTCAACATAGTTATTATTCTCTCCCTATCCGAGTAGAAACGGCAACCTCACTAGCCAAGCATCAAACATGTGCAAAGTGAAAAAATTCATTTTCTTGCATTTCGTTTGTTTGATTAGTTAAATTAGTTTTTCAGAGTTAGTTTAGTTTATTGGAATTCAACCACACTCGAAAATAATTCCAACGGATTCGATAATAATTCTAATATTATAATCCATCATCCACAATCCAGGTGTGTTTTTGATGGTGTATGGGCTATGTGAAGAGCTGCGTGACCATACTGCAAATTTCAGCAGAATTTTCACAGTGCCTTTGTTGATGACGACTCACATCACCATAGCGCAGCTCACAATTATTTGTAAAGTATTTTAGTCTTTTCTATTCTTTTCTGTTTTTTTTTTATATTCTATTCTAATGTATTCTTTTCAAATTCATTCTATTCTAAATTCGAATTTCAGAAGGCAGTTATATTCTATTCTATTGTTTTTTCTATTCTATTCTATGATCCTCTATTCTAATATTTTCTATTCTATTCTTTGATTTTCTATTTTCTATTCTATTCTATTCTAATTGATTATATTCTGTTCTATTTTGCTCTATTTTACTCAATTATTTTCTATTCTAGTCTTTTCTATTCTTTTCTATTCTAATCTTTTCTATTCCAATAATTTCTATTCTATTCTATTCTAATTGATTCTATTCTGTTCCTTTATTTTCTGTTCTATTTTGCTCTGTTTTACTCTATTATCTTCTATCCTGGTCTTTGATTTTCTATTCTATTCTTTGAGTTTTTTTATTCTTTTATATTCTAATATTTTCTATTCTAATCTTTTTTATTCTATTCTATTCTAATTGATTATATTCTGCTCCTTTATTTTCTGTTCTAGTTTGCTCTGTTATACTCTATTATGTTCTATTCTATTCTTTGATTTTCTATTTTAATCTTTTCTATTCTATTCTAATTGATTCTATTCTTTCCTATTCCTTTATATTTTGTTTTGTTCTGTTTTACTCTATGATTTTCTATTCTAGTTTTTGATTTTCTGTTCTAATATTTTCTATTCTATTCTTTGATATTTCATTCTTTTCTATTCTAATATTTTCTATTCTATTCTAATCCTTTCTATTCTATTCTGTTCCTTTATTTTCAGTTCTATTTTGCTTTGTTTTACTCTATTATTTTCTATTCTAATCTTTGATTGTCTATTCTAATCTTTTCTATCTTATTCTTTGATTTTCTATTATTTTCTATTCTAATCTTTTCTATTCTATTCGGTTCTAATTGATTCTATTCTGTTACTTTATTTTCTGTTCTATTTTGCTCTGTTTTACTCTATTATTTTCTATTCTAGTCTTTGATTTTATATTCTAATCTTTTCTATTCTATTCTTTGATTTTCTATTTTATTCTATTCTAATCTTTTCTATTCTATTCTAATCTTTTTTATTCTATTCTATTCTAATTGATTCTATTATGTTCCTTTATTTTCTGTTCTATTTTGCTCTGTTTTACTCTTTCTTTTTTCACACTTTTTTTTTTGTGAATGGGTAGCGGTACCATGCACCCCATACTCATTCATATGGGGGGGGGGGGGGAGGGCGGGAACCCCCCCTCCGCCTGCAGACCCCCACAACCGCCTCCCAGGGTTGTGGGGAAGAGGCCCTCAACCATCAACATGGGGACAAGGTGCTTTGGGGGGGGCCTTTCCTGACCTGCTGGCTGCATGCTCAGATAAGCGTCTAGTATTGATCTTGGGGGGGACCCCATGCCATTTTTAAAAGAATTGTGGCATGGGGGTTCCCCTTAAAACCCATACCAGTCCCGAAGGGCTTGGTATGAATGGGAGGGGGGAACCCACGATGTTGTTTTATTATTTTATACATTATTTTTAATGCCCTTTGTAGGTGGGGTGTTGTGTGGTGGTGTGGGTGTGGCTTTGGCTTGAGTGTAGGCAGAGACACAGGAAGTTCCATTATCTCTTATTGCTCGGGGGCCCCATGAGTTGTCAGTCCGCCCCTGGTAGGTACAGAAGCAGGGGCGGACTGACAACTCATGGGGCTCCCGGGCAATAGGGGACCATGGGGCCCCTGTGTCCTTGCCCAAACTCAAAAAAGCCTATGAAAAAGGTAGCAGGGGCATCTCATGGGGCCCCCTACTGATCCCGGGCCCTCGGGCAGTGCCCAAGTTTCCAGATGGTCAGTCCGCCCCTGGTAGGTACCGAAGGTTCTATGAGTGTCTGCAATCAGCAGTGAGCTCAGGCAGGTGATAGGATCTTTTGGGACTTTACGGCATAACAAACCTGTTCTGACAGGGAGAGAATACAAGGGAATCGTAAAAAAAAGCAATCACCCACCTGACACCTTACTCTTCAAAGATGGCTGCCCGTTGAGTCTTGTAGTCTCTCTGGTCTTCATAGTTGCATACAGTTCTTCCGCCGGTTGAGCAGAACGAGATACATGCTGAGATTTCCTCCAAGTCCTAAAGGAAAAGTCAATCAGAGAGACAAGTCTGGATTTCGGAGGGCTCAGGAAAACTCCAATTAAACTCTTTTCAAGTTATCTTCACCTACGTTGGAGTTCCTGTCGGTGAACTGCCTTGGTGAATGTTTTGGGCCTTGGTTGGTGGGATTCGTAGGGATAGGGCAAGAAATGGGTCACCAGCACACCAGGGAACTCCATAAAAGGGTCAAATTCTTCATTCATTGATCACATCACGCCAGAATGTGGTCTCCTAAACATCGCCATCATCTGCTGTGATTTGATC